GAATTATTCACTCTGTCTCGCTTAAAAACTAGTGAAAAGTAAATCATGTCAAAAACAGGCAGTTTGTCTCTTAAATAATAATTCGCGGGGAAATTCATGCCGAGGAAACAGGAACGTTGCCGCAAAGGGAGCAGGGCCATTCGGATTCAAAAAAGTCGACTAAAATAAACCGGCTTTAACAACAGCCTCAGGGGGCGTTGTGAAACGATTAAGATACATGTTAAGACTCAAATCTATTCTATTCTAAACAAGCTATTTTTGTACTCACATTTAGTTGTTTCTTTGCTTTTTACACAAAACGAAAGAAAAAAACCAAGAAAAGGAATTCAAAATAGATTTTGTATCGGATTATGTATTCTAAGATAGTAGAGTCTGATGAGGCAATAACAGAGTGAGTGAAAATGGAATACTTTATTTATCCACGATCATAAAAGCACTTACGACGCATCCTGGGTCCTCGTCAATTTTTATCGTGCAGTTTTTGAAAGTCCACTGTCTTAATGTTAAACCTATGCAGTAAAAGTGCTTCAGAAGTTTATAAAGCTAAAGAAAAACAGCACAGCACAGTAGACTTCAGCGTCGGCGATGTTGTCTTTTCTGGCATTTCAGAAGTTTTTCCAATGTTTTTCAACCTAACCTAACCTGACCGAATCGCGGATAACCGAGCCTTGAGTTCGCGGATACTGGGGTTATGCCGCTGTAAGCCAATCGTGGATAAGCGAATTCGCGGATACCGAACTCGCGGATACCTGGGATCTACTGTAGTAAAAGTACGGCAACGTCCCTTACCGCAGTCTTAGAATGATTGCCTTAGATGCGAAAATGAACACTTATCTATGCATACATGCTGGGAAAAACTAAGTGATATTATTGTTTGGAAAGAGCCTGTTGCAAACTTTTCCTAGAGCAGAAGTAAGAATTGTTACTCATTGAAAATGTCTCAAAAATCACGATAAGCGCATCGGCAAAGTCTGAAATGCACTCCCCAAGTAGCAGTGATCGCGATAAATAGTGATTTTATCGGTGGCAATTTATCGCAATATCATCGAATGAAAAATTGCGATTTATGGTGATTAAATCGCTATGCATCGCAATTTTTTGTTCGATAAAATCGCGATCAATTTTCGTCGATAAAATCGAGATTAAATCTCCATTTATCGCGATTTATGTCTCGATAATATCGCGATAAATTGCCGGGCAATAAAATCGCTATTATATTGCAACAGATCGAGGATAATCGCTCAGATGTTGATGATCCCAGCGATTTTATCGCCGATAAAATCGCAATATATCGCGATTTTTCAGTTGAAAAATGCTACTTGGGATCCTTACCGCACAATTTGTAAAAAAAATTGCGTTTTTTTAGCTTTCCGCCTCAAAACGATACCACGGCACAGGTGAACATTTCGTTAGAGGAGACACTCCATCCAACCCCTGCTAACAAGGATACTAAGCAACATTCAACATAGCCGATGCCAATCCGCCAAAACACAGGTGACGGGACGATGATTCTAACCACCTGATAACAATCGGCGTGTTACATTCATATTTCTTTGGCGTGGATAAATATCTGCCTTTATTGACCTCGTGCTCTCCCCAACTTGCGCGCAAAAGCATCGACCATGTTGAGTAAGGATTGAATGGAACGAGTCCTCTAACGAAATGTTCACCTGTGCCGTAGTATACTTTTTGAAGCGAGAAGCTTAAAAAAACGCAAATTGCCTACGCAGATTGTGAAGTTAGGAGTGCATTTCAGAGTTTGCCGATGTGCTCATCGTGATTTTCGAGACATTATCTGTAAGGAACATCTCTTATTTTTGCTCTAGGAAAATTTTGAAACAGGCCCGACTGCTATTACGTCAGTGTATGCGAAGAACGTAGCCCTCGTTCACGGATCCGTGCGAGATTCGTTCAGGCACCGATAACGATATCTCGATTATCTGATATCGCGATTATTTAAACCGCTACTAATTTCTTTTTTTCCGGCAATTTTTTCCGAATCCCACTTACGTTGACAGTGCAACTATTACGCTTTTTCTTTTTCTTGCCTTCGGCGTTTTTCAACAGTGATGACGCAAATGTGCTAAGTTCAAAAACAACGTTAAATGGCACAAGGAGAGACAGGAAGTTGTTCCTGAACACTCTCTAGTTACTTGTTGAAATGGTCTTAGGTCCTCGATTTTGTACTTGCATACATGCTCGTTAACGGGTGCTCCGCACTGGCCTGTAGCTGAGTAATTGTAAACATTGTTCTGACTAAATAAAGTGATAGTGAACAATTTCAGGAATTGCAGTCACTGAAAATTTTACGTGAAAGTTTCACCAGAGGATCTACCTGTGATACTAGGGTAAGATTTTTATAAAAAATTAGTATATGTACATTTCTTCAATTACACCTAAAAAAAAAAAAACCGAACGAAGAAAATTGATTATAAAACTCCAAAAAGAAGGATACCATAGCAGAATTTTGGCTTTAATTTCAATCCTCACAGAAAGGACCGATCAATTTTTCGATACGTACTTTTTCGCATTCTTTCTGTCAGCAAATGTGGTCAATTTATACTAAATTCCTCTCACAATGAATAATGATGATTAGTTGTTCAATAAAACGATAAGATGCGTATAAAATAAAGGCTAAACTCAAAAATCACGTACATCTCGATTGTAATGTTCCAAAATTCTAATACGCTACCTACTTTATTTTTTAACGGTTAACAAGGAAAATTCATTACAAATCACAAGCAAACTGCCCTCAGTTAGTATTGCGATACGGAGAACACAAAACGAAGTTTTCATTACAACGCCTGCCTATTACGGTGCCTCAGATATGTCTGTGTAGTATAAACGAAGAAATGAAGGTGCTTAATTATTTTGGATCCTTACAGTACTATAACAGTCCACCGGTGCGCCGCGGGCCACGAATGAGGCGATGATTGCGTGGAGAGTCAAAACGCCTTCACTTCCGTGCCTATGCAACATGGACATCAGTAGAGCTCGAATAGTTGCATCCAGGCGTTATAATGAAATGCATGTAGTATTCGTGGCATTCGATACATATAACTGTGGACGTTTTACTAGTTTTTCTTGAACTCTAACTTAAATCTAGCGTTACCTGTTGTGCGGATGAAGTAAAACTATTACTAATTTTTATCTCGACATTTTCAATTTTCCGAGAGATGCTTTGATTATTTAAATTTATTAAAACATGACCCTTCCAAAATGTAGCCTATGGCCCCAACACTTCCTGACCTAGGATCGACGAAAACGGTGTACGTACCTCTGAACCTACAGTTGGAACACGTTTAGCAGAAAGGAACCAAGCCACATCAGCTATTGCCAAATTTAATTGGGCAATTAATATTTTTTACATGAGAACGGTTGTGCGGCTATGCGTGCAAAATTCAGTGAATAATCTTCATGGCACGAAGCAAATTCTTTAACATTTTCAAAGATATTCGCACAAACGTTCTATTCTAAAAAATTGAATTGCCCGGTTAAATTTGTCAATAGCTGATGTGGCTTGGTTCCTTTCTGCTAAACGCAGTCCAGTTTGCAGGTAAGTCTCAAGATACGCTTTTCTTTAGATGAAGATCCTCGGTGTATTCATCGCTTTATTCTCAGAGGGATTTCTACTCGTTGGTTCCAAATACTTTCTGGAATTTTCCCTCCCTGGAACAGATGGAAAAATGAAATCTCGCCTCTATGAATGCAGAAACAACGGAGTCCAAGCGGTGAGTAAAATCATGTATGAAGTCCACTTTTCAATCATTGAATAAAAAAAAGGTCGCACTTCGTCCCCTCAGAACAAGAAGACGAAGAGAAAAGGGACATGGAGGGATCCTATTTGTGGAAGCGGCGGTGGTTGCGATAGACAAAGGATGACAGTGATGGGCTAACTAATGGAAACCGGAAACTAACTAACGAGAGACCCTGTAGTTAGTCCATCATTTTCCCCCTTAGTCTATAGCTACCACATGTTTCAAACAATAATATCATTCTACGTTCCGTATGTCTTCTTTGTCTATCGCTTTGTCTATCAATTTCAATAATCAGCCCACTAGTAATTTTCTTATGTTATGTAACAAAGTAACTACTTGACTTACAACACACGGAAAAAACAACAACAGTTAATTACAGTTAATGAAAAAGAGACTACATGGGGACCGCACCTAAAAAAGGTTAGGGGCTGTTCAGTATTCAGGTATCACTTAAGAGACTCAGATGGGTGAGAGGGGAGGGTGAGGCTAAAGCTTACGCAATCATCCCTATTTAGAAAAAGTAAAGAGGGTTATTCAAAATCGGCGATTTTACCCTACGCTTGGATTTTGCCCGGAGTTGGATATGTTGTTCCCTATCACAAGACACGCCTTTTTCCGGCATTGGCAAGTTCAGGCTCAAAAAGTCGGTCAAAATGGCTTATACTTAAGACATGAACAAATCCCTTCTAAACCGAGAGAGGAGACTGTAGGAGGTCACCACTATACTTTGACGAATTTGGTGGGGATACATGTACCCGGTGCTGCAAGTCGCCCTTAATATCTTTGTCTCGCACATGAGTCTAATTAATAGTTAATTTTGGGTCCTCACATGGTGCTATGTGCCAAATTCCATATGATTATGCTTCTAGTACACGAGATGTTGTCGATTTTGTGGAAAACATGCCCCAAATCGTTGTGATTGAGTACGCGAAGGAAATGCAAAGAAAGCCTTTGCGTGCTTGCTCCCAAAGGACAGGGATCCAATTAATGTAATTAATGTGCTTTACAGGTGAGCACGCGCAGAGTATGAGTGGCGATTTTGCAAGTTAGCAACACCGTTTATCCTCCAAGTAACTAAAAATATCGATTTTAGGTGACGCAAGTTGCCTCACCAAGAATCGCTTGTTTTATGTAGGTACATTTAAGTGAAGAAATGACATTGTTGCCAACTTTCAAGACTCGCCACTGCGAGCATGGGCCATTGGGCGTGACGTGGATATCAGCTGTTTATAATGAAGAAGGTGAACTTATGGCTGACGTAACACAACATGAAGTATACCAGTGTATTATTGTTAGAATTGTTTTAAATTTTCCTTCCTCCATGAACAAAGTTGAGAAGTGATCATAATTCATGCATTATTCAAGATAATTCTGGTTTTATTCTTTTATTTAACAATTGAATGTATTCATCATTGATCTGTCCGGCAGTCTATGTGTGTATGAATTCTGAATGGGTGTTTATTTTATTTGTGTTTTGCCGTAACAGGGCATAGTTCAGTGCAAGAGAGTAGACTGGCTGATCCACAAGAAATGGATCTACTATCACGCGAATTTCTACCAATCACACCGGGCACTGGAAAAAATCCCAAAGATCCAATTTTCAGACTTACAAACAGGTGCTTTTTTGCCACAGGGTGGCTATTTAGGGTTTGTATCCGACGTTTAGTTCCTATTTATTAAAAAATTTGGTCGAAATTGTAAAACTCATCATCCGTTTTGAAACATCGTGCCAAAGGGAGAGGGGTGCATTAGACGCGTTCATTCTTGTTGGACACATTATTTGCGAAAACCCTGTCAACACTACTAGCAAAATTTCACAGAACTTTGCGCAAAAGTTCAGTTCCGTATACCTATCTCTGTGTGGGAGAGGTCTTCCATTTGAAGAAATGAACGAAAAAATTATGAAAGAACAAACATAAATGTGATTTAATAATTTTAACTTCCGCCGCCGCGCCGCGCTGACCGCACTGTGTTTGACGCAGTGCGTGAAGTATTCATGCAGTCTTGTAGGCGCTAATATGTGTTACATGCCGACCGCCGCGCCTTGGGTTTCTCCTGTTCATCTCAAGTTCTCGTCATCATTGCTCTCTGCGCCGCGCCGTTCCGGGCAAAATTGCGTGTTTGGTTTCTCTCTTCACTCGACTAATTAAAGGTGCTGTCTCTTGTATCACCGAAAGATGACAAAATTAGAAATCATTATACTCTCAGGAAATGAGAGATTTTGTCACCTTTTCTCATTTGTAATTTTTTTCTGAATCCGATTTTTTTTCATACCTACATTTAAAAAAATTGCAAAATTTTCCGCCCCCTAAATTTGCCGCCATGGGCCGCAGCCCATGTGGCCATCCCCTAGATCCGGCCCTGGCTTGAAGTGCAATCTTACCCTCTCTAATGGCACAAAATCGAACTTTTGTTGGGAACACTAAAAGGAAGCTTACTAGTTCTTTATTAAGTACCAGTACAAAATCCGATGTTTCTCGGACCCATCTGCAGGCTGATTGTTGAAATTGATAGATAAAGAAGACGCATAAGAGTATGGAGCGATCCTACTGGTTGAATCAGGTGGTTCTTATAGACTAAAATGGAAAATGATGGACCAACTAACTGTAGAGTTTTGTCGGTTGCTCTTAGTTATTACTTACCTCCTTTGTCCATTGTAACCACCCACTTCCACCAATAGGATCGCACCATGTTCTTTCTGTCTTTTACGTCTATCGCTTTGTCTATCACTTTCAATAACTGGCCCGCTGGACAAAAACTGTTTTACTGAGAATTTTGTCTCTATGAAATAAGATCAATCTCTTTCCCTGTGAGTCGTCAAAAATCTAAAAAACTTTTTGCCGTCAGGTTCGTTGCCTCACCTTCAAAGCCCATAGACGGCCCTGACATTGGGGCTGCGGAAGATGAGGTGCTCAAACTAATCACGCGACGTGTCCAGTCGTGGCTTGCAATCGTCCCCCCTCAATGGCGAAACAACTTGTTGCACTACCTGGCCACGCCTGACATGAAGTATCTCTTTTCGAGTAGCGACCTCACGGCCCGCTATTTCGGATCTTACCTCGACACTATAGCATCAATCTTACATCAACATGGAGAAAAAGTAGCTAAAAAAGAAGATGCAGCGACTGCAACGCCGGCAATGAATATTCTGGTTCAGTGTTTGTAACTTGTACTGCCGTGCTAAGGAAAAACGCCGCGGAAATATTCGAATGTTGCCAAATGTCTCCTAATATACGAGTATTTTAAAATATGCTTATTGCTCCTTAAAATTGTTGAATATTTCCCATTGAAAGGCGAACAAAATCATGTGAAAAATTGGAAGAAAAATATTTATAACTTTCTCAATAGTTCGTGTTTTATCAAAGGAAATTTGGCAGCGCCTAATGATTTATACGACGTTTATCCTTAGCACGGCGGTGTAGTGGAGCATCTATCTTATACAAGTCAGTTGAGACTGAAACTTAGTCAATAAAGGAGGTTGATTTTTCTGTTTGACCTTGCAACGGGACATTGGAATGCCGACGAATTCCGTATGAGGGATTTGATATTCTTAAAAAAAATTGATAGATTATCAATTTCAACTAAAACTAGTCTTAAAGTATATTCTGCGAAAACATCACTGCTACAATGCAATTTTTAGGAATATCAGAAGAGGCAGTGGAGCTTTCTTTCCGCCATAAGGCTCCGTGCAATTTTAAAACTTTAAGCATATATTTCTTGAAATCGCCAAAACTGCATTTATCTCACTTATCCTCCGTGCCCTTCATATACGTGCAAAGGCTGAATCCAATTTTTGTTTTCCTTTCTGATTATCGCCAATAATTTTAACTTTAATTTATTAGTTTGTTTCGTTTTTTCATATCCGGCCTTTCAATGAGCACAACTTATAAAATCACAAGTACATGAGGATGTAGATTCAAAGTACTTCTTTATGATATCTTGAAAAGTAAGCGCGGATAAGGGGCCGTCTTTAAATTGCGTAATGCACTTTTTCGTCATTTTTGACCCCCCTTCCCCCCTTGTAACGCTTTTGTGCCGGAGGCCCCTATCCTTTGACACGTATACACCAAATGGTGTAATTCTCACCTCTATACCCCCTCCTCCCCCAAGCGGGCCGATAGTTGAAATTTATAGACAAAGCTATAGACATAGAAAACAAAAGGGATGTGGAGTGATCGTTTTGGTTGAAATGGGTGGCTCCTGTAGACTAAAGGAGAAAATGATGGACTAACTATAGAGTCTCTCGTGAGTTGCCGTTAGTTGATCGATTTACCTACCTCTTTTGTCTATTGCAACCACCCACTTCCATACCGATAGGATCCTTCTGAATTCCGTTTGTCATCTTTGTCTATAGCTTTATCTATCAATTTCAATAATCGGCCCGCTGGAGTATTCCGTAATTTAGAAACGGACCCTAAGCAGGATTAATAAAATTTTCACGGCGCTTAGATTACAAATCCATTTTTACTGATGTGTATCGGAAACAAAGACAATGGTATTTTATAGTCGAATTTGTATAGAGTAACCATAGAGTACAATAGTCGCAATGTACTAGAGCGCCGATGAAGTCAATCCATGAACGGGCCATTCCGAGCCCCTTGTTCGCCGGAAAGTGGGAACCATCTGGGAACCGTTCGGCATTTTTTAACACTGCGGCTTATGGGAGAATCGCAGGCTGCAAATGGTTTTCGGGATTTATTCATTTAAATCAATCATTATTTCCGCAAATTTTGGCATTCAAAAATGTACAACACTCCCGGTTTTTGTGAAAAAATTTTACACCTGTATTTTCTGAGCGAAGGCCGGAGCTGGGACCTGCATACGTTATCGCCAGTCGCCGCACAGGATATACTCAGGAATACTGAACAAAACAGCCACAAAAAGTGACCTCATCGGCGTTTCAAAACATTGCGACTCTATTGTACTCTATCTACACGGAGAAAAAAACTTCGTGCATGGGACCCGAAGTTGAGGTCACATGGACCTCTGAAGTTTTCTGATCACGCATCCGAAAACTTGAGGTCGAGCTGCCGAAGTTCGGGTTCCGTATGTACCGGAGTACTTCAGATGTGTGACCCGAACCCTTCGGTAAATATAGAAGTTCTTCAGATGTCTGACCCGAACTTTGACAGCTGGACCTCAAGTTTTAGGATACGTGATCCGAAAACTTCAGAGATCCATATGACCTCAACTTCAGGTCCCACGCACGAAGTTTTTTTCTCCGTGTATGAGAATAACCGCGTTGCAATTGTAATTCTTCAGTCAGGCGACGTTGCGGGTCTCTCGTCTTTCATTGCCAAGGACGCGGAGAAGGAACTGCGTAGGGTGATACCAGTGTTGTCGACCAAGATGGTGGACCCGTGCATCCTTACGACGATGCCGGATATAATGGCGACCGCCGGCATGGACGTAGATTCCCTGTGCAAAGCCACTTGCAAGTACCAGCAACTCATCTCGCAACTCTACCGGAAGCGCTCGTCGCGGATGTGCCGGAACCTGGGCGAGGGCGGATATTGCGACCAGACGACTTGCAGGTGCAACCAGTACTACAGGATTTGGGTGCCCGGCTTTGGACGCAAGCGGGTCCCTCATCGAGTGCCCATGATTTATTGCAACAGTATGTTTCGCCTCCGCTTCGAGGAATCGCCGCCCTCTGCCACGTAAAACAATGCAATGGCAACTTTGGCGGATCCACACTGGAAAAAAAAACACATTGAATCTACATATAGAGTCCAGACTCTTAAAAACATCGACAAGAAAAAGTACTCTTGATTCAATCAGAATCTAGCTTAAATCAAGAACCAAGCCTCTTAATTTAAGCGAATTTCGTTTTGATTCAGGCAAAAATCCGATTGAATCAAGAGTATTTTTTCTTGTCGATGTTTTCAAGAGTCTGGACTCTACATCCAATGTGTTTTTATTTCCAGTGCAGCAACTTGGCAACATTGTTTTTCGCCATTTAAACCTATGGAAATGTATCGATTCTTGGAGGGGTCAGGTGCTCCGACAAGAGTCGATTATTTAACATAGATTTAAATGGAGGGAATCCGGGGTTGCCAAATTACGAGATCCGCCTCTGGCTGGATGGCAAAATTCCTAGAGCTCATATCGACTGCAGGGCGTTTCCGCTCACTTGTTTTGGAAATTGCTGAAACGAATGAATACTTGGCGACGTTGTACTTGCCTATATGCCGTCCGACATGAAAATATTACTTCATTTTAAAAGCATTTACATTTTTAAAACGTGGCAAATATTTGTAAAACCTTTTCCAAGCGATGGCATCGATATCAACTTCAATGAGCCGTAGTTGGGTTGAAAGAAACTACACAAAAATGAATAGAAGAGAGGAAAAAATCAAGAAGCATGCGATCTTTAGTTTTAACCCATTTGTACATCGATCTTTTGGATTCAAATACGTCCAAATTTGAGCGGATAGTTGCGCGTACACCACGCTACAGCACAGTAAAAACACAAAGTATAAAAGAAAAATCAAAGTGCTTTGAAAATCATTAAATTCGACACGGAACCACCTTAATATTTACAAAACACATACGTTTATATTTTCCTTTTATACTTATCTTTTCCATCAATTTAAATGAGAATAATCCATGTAGAGTGTGCAAACGTTTCAAAATCATGAGTTGAAAATCGCTGACTCCGCGAGTTTAAATATTAGAGCCCATCACAGAGCGGAACGGCGCGCGGCGTGCTGCCAGCGCGTAACGCGCATTGGCGCCTACAAACCTAAGGGGACACTTCACGCATTGCGCAATGCTTGAAGTATCCCCTTAGGTTTGTAGGCGCCAATGCGCGCTAGCCGGCCGCTCGCCGCGCCGCAGCGTGCCACGGCGCCTCAAACAACTATTTCACAATAGAGGTGTTGAACAGTATCATACGAAATTGAAGGCGCTACAACATATTAAGAATGACAGGCATCCTTCAAAATACGGAGCTTCCCTCGCAAAATAAATCAAGATACTGTGGCACAAAAGGAGAGCGGTAGTCCAAAAACTTCCTAAGTCCTAGCATCCGCATTTAATAACGTTTAGCATAATTTGCCGAAAAAACGCGTGGACGTAAACTAACGTAAACTACTAGGCCTTGTCCACACGAGCGCGGTTCGCGGAACTTAGTTCGAGGAACTTGTTCCCGGAATAAGTGTTAGCTGAGCTGAAAACTTATTCCTCCTAAACCCGGAACTTCCCCCGTATTCCGAGCTTCTACATATATTTCTTTCAATGCGAATTTGTTTGTTTTTGTTTTTCACGTCCTTTACATATCTTGACATCTATTTTTGTCACTTTGGCGGCCGTAATAATCTATTATTTTGCAATAATTGTATAGTGTTATTGAAGTTCCGGTTCCAGTTCGGGCGAACTCGTGTGGACAGCATCCCTCCTTTCAAGGAACAAGTTCCAGGAACTGGGCAGTTCGTCGAATAAGTTCCTCGAACCGCGCTCGTGTAGAGAAGGCCCTAGAAAAACAGGTGCGCGGACAAAAAATCGTTGACGAAATGTTCTATAATCGCCACTGCTGTGGATGAAAAGTCCTGGCACCCGACTCGCTGTAACACGGTCAGGTGATATTACAGCAACAATCCGTTGTGCTTTCGCGTTCGGTAAAAAGCTTCACAGCTCTGTAAAACTTTTTACGCGATCGGGCAAATTCATTACGGCGCATCAGTGGATGTCATTTGCAGTGTTGCTCCGAAATATTGGAGAAAGAACCGCGGTATTTTGATCCTAATAAAACACGTCAACTTTTCACGCCTGCCTATTTATTTCTAATTCCTTGTTCTTCACTTTTTCCTTCTTTGTCCTCATGATGAATACTTCGGGGCGTGATGTAGGTGCCTAGGTATGTTACCGGATGTAGGTACCCGACTTCAGGTTAAACCGCAATATCCCTAACGAGTTTTTTTTTTAACTAAAAGGCTCTTGCTTGACGGAATACGCGGAACTAGATACGAGGTCTGAATTCGCCTGAACGGGCTTTTAACCGTGTCTCTCAAAAGTTCGATTTTCAAAAATGAATCGACTCGTAAAATGTTTGAACCTACAAAAACCTACAGAATCCTTCACGCCGGTGATTCAATCCACTTGGGTATAACTCGTTTACGCTACAAATAGACGGTGAAACCACCAGACCACGTATTTCGGTTTGCGACGTTGCAGATTTCCAATTCACTGTTAAAAATCCCGGCGCGCATATCGAGCTTACTCAGTAGGCATACTGGCCAGCGGGCCGATTATTAAAATTTATAGACAAAGCGATAGACAAAGAGTACATAGGGAGTATGGAGCTTTCCTATTGGTTGAAATGAGTGGTTCCTCAAGACTAAAAAAGAAGATGATGGACTAACTATCGGGTCCCTCTTGGGTTGCCGTTACTTAGTCTATTACCTACCTTCTTTGTCCATTGCAACCACCCGCTTCCACCGATAGGATCCTTCCATATCTCTTTTGTCTTCTTTGTCTATAGCTTTGTCTATCAATTTCAATAATCGGCCCGCTGGCTGCACTCAGATGACATGGCTCCGGCGCGATATAACTCGGTTTGCGACGTCGCAGACGACCTGTCATACATATACTTTGTTTTTTTTTAACGGGAACTACTCCAATTTCTTCAAAACTGCCGTGATTTTTCTTCTCTGTGCGGAGAAAACTCTACAAAAACTTGAGGAATGATGTCAATTAGTTCTCCTTTAACTTTAAAAAAATAACAAGCGGAGATTTTCAGACACCGCAAACGAGATATGTGATTGCGGACTTACGCCGCCGATGTACTTTATTTTTTAAGTGGAAAACTACTCAATGTCAGTTCTTAAAACTTTCCGTCGATTTTCTTCTCAAAGGGGAGGAAATATTGTGCAAACTTCAAGGAATAATACTGATTCGTTCGCTTTTAAAAATTTAACATGCGAGCGGAGAATTTTAAACACCGCAAACGAGATACGTAGTCTGGTCGTTTCACAATCGAAATGCTATAAGTGCGACATGATCATGGTTGATAGCTGCTGCGTGCTATTAGGGAAGGGAGCGAATAAGTATGAGGCAGAAAACGTCGTGATAAACGATAAAAAAAATACTTACAAAAAAGCAGTAGCGTGGCGTGCTTTGCGATACCTTACTAATCGATTCTTTACCATAGCTTTAAACGGGGAAATATCGACCATTTACGCCTCGCCACGGTAAAAAGAGGATCATTTCACGCGACATGTAGTACGCTGTACACGCAACACGATACTGTCTTGTCTATCAAGAACCTCGCATACACAGACACAGTTTCCAATGCACTTATGTGGTTTTATCCAGCTCAAAGAACCATGAGTGAGCTCTGTACTTCTGCAATGCAAAAAAACCTCTACTCCCCGTAGAAGTGCCACTCGCGTCACTTCTACCTCTCGATGGAGCCCTCGATCTAGAGGAAACGAAAAACTGACTACGCCTTCAATTCCTTTGCTACGCAATTTTGAGCACGCAGATGTTAAAATGGTTGTATCATGTACGATGTAATTTTGATGTAGCCTGCAACAACGTGCTCGGTGCTTGAAATAAGAGGAAATGGAGAAAGGTACGGGAGGCAGATTTTTTTTACCATTTAAGTATATTGGGGCAATATAGCTTTGATATTTCACATCATAAGTTTAATTTTTACCCCCTCCCCTTCCCCCAGTGAATAAGCCGGGGATGCTTCAGGGCCACAAAATTTGGATTCCTTGGGATCGATTCTCCGTTCAATTAAATTGTCTCTGAATTTATCCAACCTAAAATAACCAGGAGGAAAGCCTGATACGGATGATCTTAAACATACCCTGCATATTCAAGTAGGTTTTACGAGTGAAGATTAACTTTTTGCTGCTGTGCAATTTGAGCAGAGGGGGAGGAAATAGATTTCACTGAAAGGAAGTTAAAGACTTATCAATTTTAACATTTAATGTGAATGCTCATCGCGCCTGTACGCATTAGGTCTTTTCTGCCTGTACTGTTGTCAGATCGTCTCTTCTGTTTTCCTTCTTTAAGAATAAGTGCGTAGGCTACAAGGCTTCAAGGAAGATTCATTCCGTCCTGTTACCAATTCTTGAGGGATATGTATCAATCTGCGACACCTGAGGCATGAAATCAACCGGTGGCATGCTCATTTACAGGCAAATCAAACTTTGGCCGGCCTCCCATAGACACTACTCATTAGATTAGACTATAAGAATTTGAATGAGACGTTCCATTTGACTTACTTATGCCTAGGCAAGGGGTACTTTGTCTCTTGCAGCTGCAAAAATCCTCTATAATCTTGCTGAGATGCCTACATTAAAATAGAGTAAGTACTTGAAACACAAACATGACAGGTGAATCCCTGACTAGAGGCAATGCATTGACAAACAAACCATAATGGAAGGTTTGAAGCTTCCTGTAATTTGAGGGCTTAAATACTTCCGAATATTGCAGTGCTAATGAAATTTCAGGGTGAAAAAATAAACTATTATTCCTGAGAGCTTGCAGATTCTTTGAAAGCAAACCTTCAGGCATCGACTTGTCTCAACGGAAATTGAACGATCCCTGGTAAAAGTGAGTCAGCCTGACATCAAGCTATGTTCCCTAAACTACCCTGAGGCTGACTGATTTAGGCTGACATCAGTCTGACATCAGTCTAATTACTCAGGGTAGCTTATGATACACAGACTGACGTCAGGCTGATTTACTTTTACTAGGGGAGAGTACCTATGTATATCACCGAATTAAATTTTATTCTTTGGAGGGATGCGGTTAAGATAGGAAAATAAAAACTACTTCATATACTCACACAATAATCAAGAACCTCGGGCAACTTTAAACCTTTAAAGAACTTTATTCACAACACTCACGCATTGATAAGAAAGAACCACGTTCGTTTACAACTTCGGTATCAAAATAAGACGAATGTAAAGACTGCAGCATGACTGCAGGGACTCTGATGTAAACAAGTCGAAACTCGCTCTCCCATTGGTTCCCGCCAATTCCAGTGGCGCGGTCGGCAAAATATACAAATTGACGCGCCACCTTTCAAATTAGCGGGGACTGCTCTGCTTGCGCGCATTCTACAGGGTGGCCCAGACCTACCGTACCAGGCCTTTTTTTCGGTTAATTTGGGTCGCACGAAGTCCAGGATTGCGGGCATGGTTTGGGAATCGACCCCAAGGAATCCGAATTTCATGGTCCCAGAGCGCCCCTGGCGCCCCTTGGGGGGTAAAAGGGGAGTCCGTACTAAAAAAGTCAGGATTTATGTCAAAATTTTGAAATTATTTCATCGGAATCAGAACGTACGAAAATTTTTAACTTAAATCGACACCAAGAAATCCAAAATCGGTCCACCCGTGTCCAAAATACCGACCCCTAAAGGCGGGGGACAGAGCCCCCTTTCAAAAAAATTCAAGTTTGTCAAATTGACGTGGAGACTCGGAAAAAATGTGTATTCATGGGTAATCGATTCCAAGGAATCCGAATTTGAGGGTCCCGTTGTCCTCAGAGACTTTTCTGATGGGGCACAGGGGGACTCTGAACTTTTAAATTTAACCGGTTTGGAGGTTACCCCTGTGCCCCATCAGAAAAGTCTCTGAGGACAACGGGACCCTCAAATTCGGATTCCTTGGAATCGATTACCCATGAATACACATTTTTTCCGAGTCTCCACGTCAATTTGACGAACTTGAATTTTTTTGAAAGGGGGCTCTGTCCCCCGCCTTTAGGGGTCGGTATTTAGGACACGGGTGGACCGATTTTGGATTTCTTGGTGTCGATTTAAGTTAAAAATTTTCGTACGTTCTGATTCCGATGAAATAATTTCAAAATTTTGACATAAACCCTGACTTTTGAATTACGGACTCCCCTTTTACCCCCCAAGGGGCGCCAGGGGGGCTCTGGGACCATGAAATTCGGATTCCTTGGGGTCGATTCCCTATTCATCCCCGCGATCCTGGACTTCGTGCGACCCAAATTAACCGAAAAAAAGACCTGGTACGGTAGGTCTGGGCCACCCTGTATAAAACGGTATAATACCAGGCACTTTTCACGGTTTTTTTAGGTCGCGCGAAGTCAGGGATTGCGGGACTTGATCGAGTCCAAGGAATCCGAATGTCTGGATGTTGATTCCACCCCCCCCCCTCCCTCATCCCTTGGGCGGGGAATTGCGATTCACTTACACTAGACTTGAAAAGGGCGGAAAATTGTGTAGTAATTTGATGCCTAAAAATTTAAAAATCTTGAGAGAAAACCTGAATTTTAGGTGCAGCCCCCTAACTTCACAGGGAGGTCGAGGAAATAGACTTACTTTTGAGCGTTTTTCCCTCCTGTGATAAAAAAAAATGTGTAACAGCGCAAATGTGTTTGTTGCGTGCCGGCGTGCGGCGCCACGCAACAAAAAATGTTTGCATTTTGCAACACTCATTTTGATTGTTACATTTAGCCCATCATACATTGTGACTAAATGCAAAAATTTTCGTTGCGTGGCGCCACGAGCCGCGGCTAAGTATAAACAGATGCCAAATAACAAGACCGAGAGATGTGACTTTAACGCCACCGTATCAGTTCGCCTTCAATTTTCAGTGCAGGCAACACGAGCTCCCACGTGGTCGAATAGCCGTGCGACGTGGAATGGCACCCTTAACGCACTGTAAAAGAATCGCTTTTTACCAAACCGGGAGATGTAACTTCAACGCCATATCAGTTCGCCTTCAATTTTTAGTGCAGGCAACACGAGTTCCCAACGTGGTCGAATAGCCGTACNAATCCGGCCCTGTGCGTGCGGCGCCACGCAACAAAAAATGTTTGCATTTTGCAACACTCATTTTGATTGTTACATTTAGCCCATCACACATTGTGACTAAATGCAAAAATTTTCGTTGCGTGGCGCCACGAGCCGCGGCTAAGTATAAACAGATGCCAAATAACAAGACCGAGAGATGTGACTTGAACGCCACCGTATCAGTTCGCCTTCAATTTTCAGTGAAGACAACACGAGCTCCCACGTGGTCGAATAGCCGTGCGACGTGGAATGGCACCCTTAACGCACTGTAAAAGAATCGCTTTTTACCAAACCGGGAGATGTAACTTCAACGCCATATCAGTTCGCCTTCAATTTTTAGTGCAGGCAACACGAGTTCCCAACGTGGTCGAATAGCCGTACGACGTGAAATGGCACACTTAACACACTGAAGTAGGTGACACAATATGGCCTTGTCTCCACGGGACGTTTTCATGGGATTTGTCCCAAGTTCGAATCGTAGGAATGAAACTTCTGGTATTTTTCCCACTTACCGTCTCCACGGGACGGGGCTCATACAGTCCTGCGACTAGTTTGCGCGGGAAGATAAATTAGTTAAAGTCGAGTATTTAACCGGGATTTAAATAATAATTGCACTCAATTGACAATTAGACACATTATTTTAACTAAACAAACATGAACAATGTAGTAATGAATAAAATATCGCACATTTCGTTTTCACTTCTTCTTCTTCTCTCAGTGGGTCCTAGGGGTACAAGTACCATACTTGGTATTGGGAAATACCAAAAAATAAATATTCATTAACTCAATATTTTTCCCAACTTCGTACCTAAGTGGGATTTTTCCCTGGGACAAATCTCGTGAAACGGCTCGTGGAGACAAGGCCTTAAGTGATCAATTATTTAAGTAACGGCTTAAAGAGGGGCATTAAGACCCGTGACTTCAGTCACGGGCTTTTCACTGGTAAATGATAACCAACAGTGAAAATAAAATCAGGTTATCGCTCAAACAATGTCACTGTTCATTGCTGACGTGACTGAAGCGTACAAAGGATAAAGGGGTTGATTACACGGTTTGTATAATTTCAAGGAAAATAAGTTTAAAGTTGAAAAAATACATAGGTAGAGTCTTATGGTTCTAACATTCAGACTATGTTATGAGTCGGACAATGAAGACTGATCTTGTGGAGCAGGCGTGTTAAGTGTTTGACTTTCGAGGTCAAATTTTTTTTTTTGCAAAAGTTTATCTCACGAAAGTTGAGTCCAAAACCCTTTTTGGCTCATTCATTATCCCAAAAGTGTTTTTTTTTCTTTCTTTCTTTCTTTCTTTCTTCATCCATCGGAGACTCTGATTGTTAATTTCTTTTCAGTGCTCATATTGTCCTCCTATTTTTCCTGTGCCTCAGTAGTTTTTGCCTGTACCATTAAACCCACAGCACCTTCAGGTGCATTGAGCCGCGGAGCTAGCAGGGAGCTTAAGCCCTTGCAGTCATGTAATTCTGGTGATTGGATTGCTATTTTGGCTTCATTTTTAGTGCGTTATTCAGCCAAAGAAATTCATTGTTTAGCACTGTCCTAGGTAACTCACTACTTTGTCTGAGAAAGACAGCAAATCTGTGTGGTTAGTACAACAATTGAATTTAAATACTTCCTCATTGGAAAACATCATGCACAAGCACATACGTGCATGGACACACACTAGTGCATCCGTGCTCATATGCACACCATAAAAATAGGGCAGGTGCGTTCTCTAAGCAATGGGTCAGTTGCGCTAGTCAAAATGATAAGATCAGCAACAACAGCAACTTTGTACGCTCAATATTGAGCAAAATATTGCACTTTGAAAAATACGATTTATGACGTCATCCACCGAGGAGAGACACCCTTGCCTTGGTTTGTTCCAGCTTGCTTTCATCAGTCAGTGATGCAATGGTTACTCAATGTGAAACTTGGATGAAAGCAAGGTGGAGGAAAGTAAGGGTGTCACTACCGTGGTAGATGATGTCATAAACCGGATTTTTCAAAGCCAAATACCTCGGTTAATATGGAATGTAGAGAGTTGCTGAGAGGCAGTTCTTATTATTTTTAGCTGATCTACAAGAATCGAGCATCAAAATACGATTCTGTGACCAGTGCAACTGAACAATTGATTGAAGAAAACTAAAAACTGGCTCATAACCAAAATAATTTATTAAATCTAAACAAACAGTGATTTGGTACAAAACAAAAAATTATTTTTTTATTGACTTCCTTTGTCTTGAAACTAAAACTTAAAACTATAATTCAACAAATAACTGATCGAGATATTCAGTCGGAGACTAACATTACATGAAAAAAAGCATTTCATTGGAATGTTGCTCCGCTCACAGAACATTACGATCGTTGACAGTCTTTGATAATTTTAAAATAGGAAAATAAAAATCTTGGACTCTTTGGCTTAAAAAATACACTAAATTCGGTCTATTAAGAAAATCTCAGCACATATTTACATGTATTGGACAAAAGGTTGGGAAGAGATTTGAAATGAAAATTATATCTACTCATTTTGTCCTTGTAATGTTGGTCCAAGTTTTCTTATCATTCTTTCACAAAGAAATTGACTTGAATGACTGAATATTGATAAAGTCATCAAAGCTTACCAAGATTGAACATTTAAAGGAGTAACAGGTAATTACAGCTCCGAGAGATAAGATCTCCAATTTTGCCAGGTTATGCAAAATCAAAATGACTAAAATTCTAGGTCATTTTAATCAATAGTTTATGAACGTGCATAAAAAGGAGCAATCTGCACGGATAATTTTCAAACTGACAGCAAAGTTCTCCGTTTGCCTTTCTAAAATTATAATTGCCCGTAGTCTTTATTCTATCATGAACTCCCAAATGAGAGACATATTATTAAGGGGGGGGGGCATTCTTTCTGTCTTTTTTATGAAATACTTAGAATTCTGAGTAAAAATTTTTCCTGTCTCATCCTGATTCACTAATTCAGTGGACATTGTAGATAAGACAAAAGGATATAAACAAAATGACGTCTTTTAGTAAGTTTTTTCTAATTGAGGACAAAAGTTTGTAATATGACGTCCACCTTAAGAGGCAATTGGCTAGTGCTATATTTCTTTTCTAAGCTAAATAAAACTGGAATTCAATTATCTTAAGCACTTTGAACCAGAAACATTGTCAAAATTGACTGTTGACAACAAATTAATACGTCCGACAAATAACAAGAGTTCTACTCCCTGTAAATAATTTCCTTCCTTGAATACATAATATTTCTAAGGTTGTCAAGAAAAAGTTGTCGCCCTGAATAATCTTGGTTTTTGTGACGAACTTGACTTGAGAAAACTTTTCTTTTATGATAAGTTTGACAAAAATTGGGACAGATGGCACCAATTTCTCATTCATGAAATAAATTTACAAAATTTTGACACTTCCACTTCAATAAACAATAAATTTTAATGATTAATCCCAGTTCTTGTTCACCTGGACTACTAGTTCATTTCAAGCTGAGCACTAATTTTTAATTGTCCGAGGAAACCTTACATGAGAGGATTAAGGTGTGGATTAAAGGATGTTTCTTAGAACTCACTTGTAAAATAAAATCTCTTGTCGTAAAAGCAAATCTTACTAAGTCTGACATTTCTCACAAAGTCAAACTTAGGATTTTACTAGTTTTAATGAGAACTCTCGACTTTATGTAACTTACAGCAACACACTTAGTGATAGAAGGAAATAATACTGGCAATAACATCATAATACATCATAAAAATAAATAAATAAAAATGAAAATAAAATCGAAAAAACTGGGGAGGAAAACATTTTTGAGATGCTTCTGAGTGCATAAAATATCTATTTTGATTCAGACGATTTTCTGCAAAATTTATGATATACTGTATGTAATGGCTGGTGTGTTGTAAATTTGACAAAAATAAATTATTGTTCTCATTATTAACAATATGCCCATACAAGCAATAAAAAAAAATTGTGTTACAGGTCCATTGTCACATTAGAATGCGTTGGACTAACAAGTTGAATGACAGACTACAACAGCTTTACTACTTCGAAATAAATCTCAAGAAATGTGTGTGGCGCTTATGAACCATCTAACTTTCAACAAAATCGAAATGTAACTTCATCAATTTTCTATAATCTTGGTCTACCAATCATCCATGGGAGATGATCAAACAGTGAGCAAACTCTTCTGATCGTAACTTTTCATACACACAGTGGAGTTAGGCCAATCAAACCAGAGGAGACAAACAAATGAGCAAACATTATTCTCTCTATAAACAAAAAAACGAATAACACTGCTCATATTTAATGGGATACTGTCCGGCATTTTCCACAGAAAACTCAACTGCAGATTTCTCAACAAAATTTTCTAACCTGAAATGTTTTCCGCCCGATTTTTACCTCTCTCTTTCTGTGGACAATTGTAATTGGACCCAACTTTTTTATTGGCAAGATTTTAACGCAAAACTTTCCCAGTGAGTTAACTGATTTTTAAAAAATACACTAAAAAATACCTCTCTGCTATTACAATGTAACCATGAGTCTATACATAACAAAGAAACAATATTATTATTTACAAAATAAATAAATTAGGAGATAAAAGAATAAACCATGCTCAGTAAATAATAAATACAAAATAAAAAATGGCTAAAATAGAGATGTTGTTCCAGCACCAGTAATTTAAAAAAAAAAATGTTGCATTGAGATGTTGAGAACAATGTTAAAACTTAATGAGTAATATCTATTCTTTTAAAACTCCAGATTTTGTGTCTTAAGGGGTGAAAGGTACCGAGAAGATTCTTTTGATCACACTAGTTGGCAGTCATTGAACTTGAGAGCAGGTAACTTAAAATGGTAGAACATCTCTAATTTTTTAAAATTATCAAGCAAAAATCTTGAAAAGAAGAGGTACATTGAATTTCAGAGGGACCAATTAGCATGAGAATTGTGCGCTCCCGCACTAAAGCATGAAATTTACAGGGTCTTCACTCTGTAGAGATTCGATAGGTACAGAGGCAGATTTCAAATGGTCTCTCCGTGGGAGAAGGGAGGAGCTGGACCCAATATTTTGAACTTTTTGTAGCTTCAAAATACTCAATGTCATATTTTTTTTTTTTTTTTTTTTCAGGAAGAATGTTGAGAATACCTCTACATATATTTCTATAGGATTAGAACTTGTTTGCAAGTTATAAAGAAAAGTCCCCATTCGATAAAGATGTGTTCACGTTTTTTCCCTTTCTTCTTCCTTTCTGACCACTTTCCTTTGTCTACATTTATCAACTTGCAGTTTGTTACTTCTTGTTTAAAGTTAATGTTGCGAGATGTTTTTCTCGTTTCTTTTGATTTTCGTACTATTCAAAATGCTTCTTGTTACTGCTCTTACCATAAGCCATCTCTTCTAAATTGGTGGCAAAGTGCAAAACCACGTATTTCCTTTGTGATGTTTTAAAATATACACTCCTATTTTACTCTTCAAGGAGAAACAAGCCAACTTTATAGCTTGAAATTTTCACAGAATTTTCTGCTTACAGAGTAGAAAAATCAAGGACGTTATCGAGAAATCATGTTGACTAGTTTTCCAAGGAAACGGTAAAGTATGACAGAATACGTGCAACGTCAAAAACGGAAATACGTGGTTTCACACTTTGGCCATCAATATGAAACCGGATAAATTTTAAGTGTTTATAACACTTGAACATCTTCATTTGCTTTTCATAACAAAAATGAGGTGCTAAAAAAGAGCATCTGAACCAAGGGGTCTCCTAAAATGTCATTTTTAAAGTAAAAGTATTTATAAAATTACATGCAAGCAAGAGATTTCAGCTAACTCTGAAAATGTTTCAATAAGAGTTAGAAAAGTATTCTAAAAGTATCTGAAAAAGAGAACGTTTTGAGACTTAAATAGGTATAATATACAGACAAAGTAAAAAGGGCCCATCGTTCTGCAATGAGGATTCTTAATCTTGCCCACCGATCATTTACTTCTCGTAATTTGTCTTCATAAATACTTTTAACACAGCACTGAGACATGACCAAAAATGACGCTTTCCTGAGAAAAAAAATACAACAGAACTTATTAAAACATGTAATCACTGGACACAGGACAATATATGTACTGACGATCGTTTTTGATAATGTAAAAAAAATGCAGCAAACAAGGCTGAAAACCCATTGTTTCCTACAAGAATACTTTGGTCCTAGTTTTCAGAAAGCAATATCCGCAGTAATACTGGCTGCAGAGCTTTGCAGTTCATGGATCCGCCTCACTAGTTTTAAAATAATGCCAAGAGCAACAACATTATTTTGAAAAATATTGACCAAACATTACCATTTATCAACACAAAAAAAAGACCTAAGTAAGTGCACAGGTGCAAATTTTTCTAGAGAGTGACTTTTGTTAGATAGGGTTGAAAAATCGGAACCTGTCTATGGAGACGTCTCTTCAATATCCCAAAAAAAGGAGCTGGGAGACATTAGTTTAATATTGCTCCAAAAAATTGGTTAAATTTGCTTTCGAGTTGACAATTTTGAGTCAAGGACAAGGCAGATGTGCAGTTTTGAATGGCTGTTTCTCAAAATTACATTTTCCATCTCTGAATGTTCCTTCTCTTTCATTTGACATTTTTGGGTAATATCTGTGCCAAAATGTTGGTAAAAGATTCTTTTAGCAACAGTACCAATGTCTCAATTTTGAGTATTTTAATACTGAGGTCTATTTTTCTCATCGAAAATTGGATGTATTTATGGTAAAAGGAACTATGAGCGTAAGCTTTGCACCGCAACATAGTTTCCTTTGCCACGAATACGTCCAACTATAAATTCCAATTATTTTCTATTGAGAATTTAAATAAAGAGAGAGGGAAAAACACCAACCTAGAATGAGTCTGGAGTGTGAATTCGATCCCTCGCAGCAGATCGTTGGTTTTCAGGACTAAAAGCATTTCTCTATTTACAGTTTGGAGTATTTCAGTCAATTTAGGCAAAAGACCAGGAATCTCTTTTTGAAATAAATCTCGCTGCAATCAAAACAAGAAGACAAATTTTAAACAAACAAAGAGAAATTCACCAACTGGACAAATCAAAAACGGATGCAGCATAAACTCTGCATGTCTCAGCTCTTGATTAATTATTGAAAGACTTTCTCCTTCGATGGGACACTAACTTCCTGCAAGCCGAAATGGCGGTTAAATTCAAATTAATATTGCCTATTAAATAAGAAGCCTGCCATAAATCATGCAAGGCAAATTTTCAAATTTTTTGATACCCCTACCAATGTAAAAAGCTCCCAAAAAGCAAAATTGGGCACCCTCAACAAATAAATAAATGACGCTTGCCCCTCAACTAAAAACTACAGAGTTTATTAAGAAATATTATCGAAAAAAATTAGCTTTATTTCAACCATCACAAATATATTTTAGTGAGAATGCCAACAGCTTTCTAAAAAAAACCCTGAACTAATTCCATGATTATCTTGACCAAATAATAAAAACAACTCCTAAACTAACTAACCTAACTAAACTAACTAACCTAACTGTTGAAAAACTAATAGCTAAGGTGAGGTAATTATCACCAGGAAGCAGGTGACTCTGAAGAACATGGGCTTTTTAATGGTGGTGGCTCAGACTTTATTTTCAGTATCATCTGGATGAACTGTTAGGGACCTTCCAATCTTGTTCATTTTCCAGCAAATATGTCACGAAGTGAAACATCATGATTGAAATTTAAAATAAATGCATGTTAAGTAAACAAGTCAACTAACCTCATTTGTTGTATATTCAACTTTGTTGATCCCAGACTCAATAGCGTCCCACGTCCTGCCGGACACCATGCACGCTAGAAGAGCGTAAGCATCTCCCACTCCAAGATAATCACAGTACTTTCTCATTCCGTCTTTGTCCTTGTTCAAAATGCTCATCCATAGTTTTGAGTAATTGTAGCGAAAATCTGGAGAAAGTGTCTGGAAAAAAGGAAATTAACAAAGACATTAGGAGACAGGTAGGAAAAAAACTAAAATCAGATGAATGAGGAACTTAATATCGGTAATTAATTAGCCATAATAATTCAAAGGTTAAGTATTTATTGCAAAAAATTAAACATCAATTGGCAGCAAGCAGAGAAAATTGAGTTATGGATAGGTTTGAGCTTATTCGATGCAAATTCTAAACTTCCAAAAATTTACAGTCCAAAAACTTCTTAGTACGAGAGAATTGGACTTGAGATTAATTTTTGTATATTTTCAGAAGAAGAACCATCATTTTACATGTACCTTATAACAGGTTGAAACTTACTTTTCTCCACTCTATGTCCAAAACACTCAGTTATCAGATCCGTTGGTTTTCGATAGGTCGAACCTTTTTTAGAACCACCTCACAAGGAGGTACCAAAATCACGCACCAATGTTGCAATTCATTAGTCACCGAATCGGAAGTTCCGAACTCAAATAGAGTGGCAGCTCGGAGGTTCGGGCACAGAAGTAGTACCGAACCTCTAAATGGAATTTGCTTAGTTTGTTATTGTTAGACACTACCAAATTTAACTGTAGTCCATGATACTAAAAGTGACAGCTGTGGGACAGAATTGGTAACTGACATGGAATATTGTTTAAGGGTTGAATTGCAGTTACATTGGCAAATTCAAAAGACTCCGCCTTGCTCAAGCCAATCAACCCTACAAAAATAGATTGAGCTCTTCACCTGCCTCCAGCCTCCTCTTTTTGTGTTGTAGACTGTAGAACCTAAACCCAGGGTAAATCATCTCGACTCTGAATACTTACAAGCACTGTTCTCAGAAGTTAGCTGATAGAGAATTTTTCCAAAATGTATCACTAGCAAATATTGGCTTGAAGAAAGATTCTGTTTCCAAATTTCCGATACAGGGAGGCATTCTATGTAAAATTTTGTTTAAAAGTAAGATGACAGAGGATTATTCTTGAGTACTTACAGCATACAGCCCATGATCAAGAAGAATAAGCTGTGTTCCACTTTTGACTTTTCGGACCAAAATATTTCCAGGGTGCGGATCACTATGAATAAATCCTGAGTTAAAAATCATTTCAGAATAAACTCTGCCAAGTTTATCGGAAACATCAAATGGGTTGATCCTGGAAGAAGTATAGAACAGAAACTAGACTCATGAAACTAAAACTGAGGGATCATTCAAATCTATCTGTAATATTGAAAAGCACGAGTAGATTGACTTCTTTGTGTTGATTTTGGGGCAATTAACTCTCTTATAATGACATTCTGTGGTTGTTGATTTTACTATCCAAAGAATAGGATACCTCAGTTCATGGTTTTTGCAGCCTCAAAAATAGCAAATAAGGCACATTTTGAAGAATTATCAAGCACTTTAAGCACTTTTTGAAACTTTCATGTAATTTTTTCCTCTGCGCACCCTTTTCTCCACATATCATGCTTTGGAAATTGAGAATTTACTATCAACTGTGAGCATACAATGAGCATTATTGAGCATGTATTACTAACAACTAGTGAGGAGTAAAATTTAAGCTTTTTTCAAGCACTTTCCAAAAAAAAACGAACTTTCAAGGCTTTGAAAATAAATTCAAAAATAAGCATTCTTCAAGCGCTCTTCAAGGTCACACGGACCGTCTGATTTCTGAAAGCAAATTTTTTAATGACTTTAACTTTTGTATACTTGATTTGCTCGACTATAAGCTGCATGAAAAATTTCTGAAACTTTTCCAGGTTTGAATAAGTTAAACTGACAAAAATTTGACGTCATTTCCAACCAAAGATTTACTGGTGTATACTAAAAGAAAAGAGACAACTTCTAATTTTAGTTGAGAACTGATCCAAACGTTCCATTAGGTATTCCAAAATTTACAGTTAGGCTTAAAAAATTTAAAAAAAGCAAGAAAATTATATTTGAGAAATTCCCTGGAATCCTGGGATGGATAAAATCTTTTTCTGGTTTTCTACTTCTGTAGACAGTCTTTTGATACAGAACTTTAACGCACACTTACTTGTTGTTTCGAATGTAGTCTAAATCATTAACCTGACCTCCTTCCACAAATTCCATTGTGAGGACACGCGATGTGCTTAAATCAGAATATATCGTTGGTATTTTAAGCCAAGGAAAGTGCTTGAAGATTCGTCTTGCTTGCTCCGTGTTCTTAGCCTCGTGAGAGAAATCAAGCTCTTGAGGGATATTCCGTTTCATTTCATCAACTAGCCATCGAAATTTAAACTCTGGAAATACCCAGGATACAATGTAAACTAAGACCTGAAAATGGAAATGCAGAGGGTTCAATGATTAGGTTAGCAACATTCACATTTTGTAACAAAATTAGTGATGTCCTACATTTTTCTAAAATTTTGTGGTATGTCCATGTGCTGCCAATGCAAGTGCTTTCCGAGTGATAATAATAGTACTTGTAATATTATTGCCTGTAGGAATAGATTTAAAAAAAAAGAAAAACTTTTAGAGGGATACCTCTGCAATTTCTAAAAAGGGCTCACTGTATGTTGCCAGTTTTGTTATCTACAGAAAATTTCATTTGAGTTTCCTTAATGAATGGTTGCAATACCTATTTCTTTCACCTTCCCAGACAAAATTGAGATATTTCATGGAGTACAAACAATTAAAATTTGATGAGGTTTTCTTTTTATCTTAAATAAACGTCCATCTCTTGGTTAGAAAATTATTGGTGTTAGGTTTTAAAGATGTTTCTGGATTAATTTTCAAAACATCTAGAACATTGTGAGATAAATTCTCAAAAATAGAACATTCATAAAATGGGAGATTCCTGATGAAAACAAGTAGCAAAAGCTACCTGCTGAGGGGGCGCCGCCCCCCCAGACCCCCCCTTTCAAATTATATATGTGAGACTTTGAGTATCATAGAAGTCGTGCGGCGACATGCCGAATGAAATGCCACAATTAAAATTATTGGATCAGATGATGAGCTGATAAAAGCCTTACCTAGTAATNGACTATGGTCCACATATTTCAAGGTGGCCATAATTGTTTCAAAAATAATTATTCCATGACTTTTAGAACTTATAAAAAATAGCAGTAACTTAAAAGTTTCTGTTTTATTAGTTTTACCTACAATGGGTATCGAGAAAAAAATTACTCAAGTACATACCTCCATTGTTTTCATATCCACCACAGAATGAGAACGCACATACGGATGTTGTATTTTCACGGCTACAGTCTCTCCATTTTTAAGGACAGCTTTATGAACTTGAGCTAAAGATGCGGCACCCAAAGGCTCATCTTCCATTGAATCAAAAATTTCAGCTGGCTATTATACAAAACGGAATGAATAAAAGACTTCATGAGAGGGGGAAGAGTTATGGGGACAAGTAAGAGTGACAGCAAAATTATGCTGTATTATGATACCTTTTGAACCATAAAATTTAGACACTAATTCCTGTGCCTTCACAATCTGTAATTGTCTACAAAAAACAACTGAGATATTGGCACTATTGCTTAGAGAAGTAGGTATTTCACGATCATTTTAGCAAAAAAAATGTGTCAACGTATCTGATGAGAACAAACCTACGGTGGGTTGAAGTTTCCACTTCCAAAACAAACAGTTTAAAAAAAAAAACTCTGGATTGTAATTTATTATGATAGAGATAATACTGTTACATGCTTCCAGACTTTGTTCATTTCAAACACTTGTTATTTACATTCTTCATGGTTTTTTTCAAATTCTCCTCTCTATTCTCAAAGAATTGAATTAATGAAATATTATGTTTTATATCATACTCAGGTGCTTTTCATTTACATACAAAAAGCCTCTTAGAATCAAATAATCAACTAGTTGCTGTTCTTTGTTTTTCATTTTATTTGGTACTTGGACTACTTTTTGCCGATTCTTTGGGCATATTTCTCAGGGATACTAAACTGTGCCAGATTTCAAGATCAACAGAATGTAGCAAAAGTACTTAGCACAAAACTTGGGCTAAAGGCAATTTTCAAATTGAAAACCTGTTGCTTTTTTCTCTTCTCATCACTGTAAACAATTGGGGCCAATCTTACATTTTATCATGGGGCAAATAGGAAATTTTGGCGAAAGTTAAGAGTGCCCAATCGCAAGAAAGAGCTGTAGTAGTATTGGCACTTTCTGCACTCCTGTTGTTCCTAATCTATTGCTGTGTTAAGGTTTTACTCTGTTTCTCATGTTTCTTTTAAATCTTGTTTCCTTCAATTTTTTCTTTTAATTGGGTTTTTCCTGCTGATACATAAGAAAAAAAGAAAAAAAATTGGCATCGTGTTTTTGATCTCTCAGAATAGATCCTGTAAAGTCTAAAACTCAACCCTGGTTTGTTTTTTCAAATTTTGTCGGACCACTCATCAACTTTATATACTTGTTTTAATTTATTCATTTTGCCCACTAAGCTGGCACGTATTTAGTGATTAATAATACCACATAGAAATGGCATGGATTGAAAATGGCTTTAAGGTATAAATTTATAGGGATCAGAGAAAAGTTCTGCCAAAATTAAAAAAAGAAAGATTTTTAACTTACGTCTCTCTTCAGATCTTCTTTGAGAACTGCACTGATTTCCTCAAGGGATGAACTTGGCGCATGACTATGCAGAACTTTCAGAGTGTTAACATACTCTTTGGGTAGAAGATACTCCAAAGCACCTATATGCTGCCCAACTTTGATATATACACCCTTGTTTGCTCGACATAACTCCAGCAATTTCTCAGCTCCTTGATAGTGTGTCTGTGAAAGCATAAGAAAGCTATATGAAAAGGCAAAGAACATTTGAGAATCATTCAGTGATAAGGAACAAATTTTCATGGGAAAGAGGAGGTCTGCTCTTTGAAAGTCAATAGCAGAATAAAGAATTTGATTGGGTTTAAAAGTTAATGGATTTCATTCAGAAATGACCACTACATACCAAATGACCTGAAAACAACCATTTCCATTCGATTGCAAAAAATAGATTATAAAGAAAATAAAAAAGATTAATTTACCCGCTGGGACACACTTGTTAAAAAGGGGAGTAGGTACAGCTCTGTGACATAATTCACCAGCATGCTTTCTCACTTCTAAATTTCTTTTTCTTGAACCCTATAAGTAACCTACAGTAACATAATCGCAAAAAATACTGTACACAAAGCTCGTCAAACGATTTTTTTTAGAGCAAAAGCATCAGTAAAATACATTAATTACATATTGCAGGATACTCACTTTTGATCGAATCTGCCGATACTCGTCTGATTCAGGGTCTAATTTCTTCGCATAACCTTGTTTCTTGTAACACAATCCAATGTCAAAAACCTGGAAAGTAATAAGTTATCAATAAAAATCACATATTGTAATAATGAAAATGGGTAAAAATAAGAAATACGAATTTAATAAGGCAACCTTACAGCTTAATAAATTGTCCTTTAAATATTTCAATAGCTAGTTGGGAATCACATGCAACAGTTTTTGTCATTGCAAAGGACCCCGCACACTCCTTGTGGGATCGTGCACCACGGTCGTTTTTTAATCTTTTTATTAAGTACAATCAACTCATCTCAAGATGCTGATCAAAAGTCACCATTGCACCAACTTTCTACGATGCATTGTTTCCCCACATACGCCCGGAACGCTTCAATTATTTGGTGATAAAGAGTCAGAAAGATTCCCCATTTCAGCACTCCATAGTAAACGGTCAGCTGTGTGTCAACAAGGAAATCAGGGGAACTCCAGCACCGAGCGGCAGTTTTATCTCGGATTCTGCACGCCTTTTTGTTGGACCATCCAAATCAGAGTTGTGAGGAGCATAAGAACAGGAAAGTAGGAGAAAAACAGTGAATGCCAAACGGACACGGATGAGAGCGGAAGGGAGATTGCCCCAGAGTAGGCAGAAATAGATAAGAAGACAGACATCCACTACGTTTTTCCTTATTCACATCAGACCTGTTCTCGAATGCCTTGTTCTTTTTGACTCTTCATCCCTGAATAATTGAAGCGTTTCAGGCGTATGCTGCAAAAACGGTAGAAAGTAGAGAGCGTAATCGTAGAAAGTTGGTGCAATGATCAGTTTTGATCAGCATATTCAGACGAATTGAATGCAGTAAAAAATTAAAAATCGATAGTGGTGCACTTTCCAATAAGGAGTGTGCGGGGTCCTTTACCCGCATACTTTAATTTGCTGACTGTAACACTAATCAGCATTAGTTCTCGCAAATTACCATGAGTTTTCCTTCTTGTAAGATGAATATTCTGTGAAACTTTGAAGCAACAAAGCTGTCTTACTTTCCTTCAAGAAATACAGCAGGAGGAGATCTTTCACAACACTGCAGTTAAATGCATAGTTTTTTCATGTATCTATTAGTATTTAAGCTCAGTGACTATTTTCGGAGCACCCAACCATGAAAAACAGCAAACGATTATGCATTTTAGATAGCGACATCATGTTTGCTTACAACTACCAAAAAGAGTGTAGGGAGATAGATTGCTGTTCTTCAACTTGGCTCCAAATCATAACTGGAATGTTTTGATCCAGTATTCTATTTAGCAGGACTAACAGATTAATTACTGAAAATTTAAAAAAATGCCCTTCAGAGTTCATACTATGATGCAATAGTTCTGTACTTACCGTTACAGCAGCTCGCCCAAACCGAATGGCACCAACAGAGCCTAAATCATAATTATTAGAGTGCAGCGAATACAGAAAACCACCTGCAGGTAACCAGAAGAGACTGTGCTTTAGTAATTTCCGCGAAACGAACATTATAGTTCTCGAAGAGACACAATACACTTAAACTAAATTATGTTGTGCTGAAGGAGTGAGCTTGAATAATGAAGCGGATGAAGTGTGGAGAGGAAATAACGTCCAGAGGAAGATTAATGCGCATTATTTACCATAATTACTGCAAGGTAAGATTACAAATTGACGACGCGTAACTCTAAATTTCAGAGAAAACTGTGTAAATTCCCCACAATTCGAAAGCAAAATAAGCAATTGGAAGTTACCTAACCTTAAATTCCTTGAATGCCTTCCCTTCCCTCCTTCTAAAAGTAAACAAAACGTGACGTCAGTTTGCTGGCGAGCCATGGTCCATGGCCATGGGCTTAACAGGGTTGCAATTATTAATACAAATCGTGGAAAATAAAGTCTTCAAATGTCATGTGAAAATATTCCATGGATTTTCAGAAAAATATGTCAGATATTGAAAATATTTCTCGAAATTAGGTAAATACAAAATTAACTGAAAACCAAACAGTTGTGGCTCTTCGGTATTTTTGGGATCATTGGCAAGAATTTCTACTTTTTGCTGAAATAATACAATCATGACCCATCAAGAACAATTTAACTTTTAATACTGAGCAATTCTTTTGCTTTGAGGTACGGGGTTTACAGTAAGGACATTCTTGACCATCATTGAATTGAAATTATGGCATTATTTTCTTTTAAACTTCGTTTTTTTCATCCAGATTTTCTTGCTGCACTAGGGTTTACATGTGCTTAGCCTTCAAACACAACAACAATAAATATTAAGCTAAGTACAGAAGTAACCTTTGCTAGACAGAAGGACCCTAAAATCTGGTCCTGGTATAGGTATCCAAAAGTATAAATAATATATTTTGTCAGGGTTACAAAGGTACACTGATCCCATGGTTAAGTTGTGTTGGAACATTAATCACAAATTGAAGTCACTTTCTTCAATTAGAACTTGAACAGAGGAGGATATTTTGGTGTTGGTAGATGTTAATGGACTCTCATGGGACTTTTGCAAAAAAAAAAAAAAAAAAAAAAAAAAAAAAAAAAAGTGATATAAATCAGAATTGCAACTGAATTAAAACCTACAGAATGCAATTTAAAATAAAAACACAATGTGCACCAAAAAAACAATTAAGGGCAGGTCATGGGACACATTGTTGCCCAGAATAAACAAAGTTATTTGGTTAAGTATGATAACCTGCTGTTTAAAAGTCTACTTATAGTAAGTTGCAAACAAATCTGATATCAACTACAAAAGCTGTATGGTTCTTTTATGGTTTCCTTTCGTGGAAAGTGGAGTAATTTAGGAGGAAATTTTTTTGGTAGATTAGGAAACACCCAGTCAACTAATTTAAAAAGAGGAATTTATTGAAATTTGTTTTTGTTAAGACAAAGCAAACTTATTTTTCGAAGGGGCATTATTCCGTTAAACAGAATCTTTAAAATGATATTAATGGATGAAATAAAATAGATAAAAAAGGAGCACTTGACAGTTGTTCTCTTCAAGATACATGATTGATAAAAACAAATACTTAGAAATTAATGACTTGACACACGGCATAGGTAATAAAAATACTTTTCACTTAAGGTTTCATAAAAATATTCAATAATTAGGAAAATGCTCAATAGTTTTTAGCAATCATGACACACAATGTAGGGATTCAACTAACAGGTTTTCCTTGTCATGGCTCAGATATTTGATAACAGTGTCCACAATTTTAGTGCTTCAAAGCGTTTCCTAAGAACCAAGGTTGCTAAGTAAAACAATAAACAAATTTACATACTTTCCTAGCTTCTCCTTGAACTATCCTCAAATAAAAAGTTGAACACAAATATTTAGGCATCTGAGTTTGATTCAAAAGATTTATTTTCTGATTCAGATTTTAAGATCTAAATCAGCCATATTTAGTATTTCTGAACACATTGTTGTCTACAAAAAACCTTGACACTTGGACAGTTCCAGAGGGTACATAAATCTCAAAGAGAAAATCCTCTGAATTTTTTAGGTTCCTGCTCTGATTCAAATATCAAAGATCGTTCCATAACTTTCCGACTTAACCGACAATCTGCCAATATCTACAGTAAAAAAGGAATGAACATTGGTTACTCTTAATTTTCACCTTAAAGTTCTCAATTTTCCTTTTAAAATTCATTGAATTCCCAAATCTACATTCTAAAAGTTCTGAAAACGAATGAGATAGGTGCAGAAAAATTGAGCTTAGGAGTAAAACTCTGTGGGCTCCTCTATTTTCCTGTGGATGAATCATTTAATGGTAACCTCTGACAACAGGAAACCATTTTTTACAGTCTTGCTGGTTGCTTTAATCAAATTATCAATGAAAAATTATCTTGCTTTCTTGGCTGGACAAGCTATCAAAGTTAGCAGACCATGTCTTGGATTTTTCTTAGGGTATTTAATACAGGACATAAATCAAACCACAGCTATAACAATGAGAAGTGCCGCCTGAAAGCCGATTATATTCCCATTATCTCATTAAAATTGAATAGAAGCATGCAATTGGTTACTGAGCCATAAAGTTAATTTCTCAACTCATTCTATCCAGGAATGATATCCTAAAGTGATGGGTAACTTCATTTGAGCTAAGTTAAGATGATCATTCTGTAAAGTAATCATATCTTTGTATTGATCATAAAAAGCTGAAAAAAATCAAGGTATGAGATCAAAATTTTACTTAGTATCTTCCAATTATTATACACACAGTTGTCAAAAAAACTGAAACAGCTATTAAAGACTAAAATATTTTGCGTATTCACAGCACCTCTAGCTGCAACCCACTAAAAGTTAGAAATACAAATTACAGGTAAAAGATTAATTGTAATTAAAAATCAAAACAATAGAAAAAATGATAATCACAGAACGCTTTGACGAAAAATGCATGAAATTTGCCTCCACCGTTAACCTGTGTCGGAGGTGCACGGAGATGAGTCATTGATTGTGTTGTCATTGCAGCTTTCACCCGATGAACTATTGGGGGGCTTTGAGTCAAACGAGCCTCTCTCACTTTTCACTGAAATTAGATAGATATAAAACATTCATTAAAAGAAACCGCAATGGATGCAAATGCAGGATGGTATACAGAGAGGCTGAAAAAAATGTACAGAGTTTATGGTGAATCCAGAGTTCATAGCTCTGCACATGAGCACTATTTTGATTTACAGGGTGTCCCAGACCACCCTTAACAGGCCTTTTTCTCTGTTGGTCGTACAAAGTTAGGGAACGCAGGGTTGAAGAGAGAATCGACCCCAAGGAATCCGAATTTCATGGACTCGAAAGCCCCCCAGCCCCCCTTGGGGAGTAAAGGGAGGGAGGCCACAATCCTAAAAATCGGAGTTCCCAATAGAATTGTGATTCCGTTGCATTAAAATTGATAAGTACGGAAAATTTCACGTATTTACCCCTAAAAATCCAAAATCTGTCCAATTTTGCCCCAAAAATTATTCCTTAAAGAGGGGAACAGTGCCCCTTCCATAATTTCCTTTAAGTCGCAAAATTGACGTAGATTCTCCAAAACAAGATGACATCCCAGGTAGTCGACCCCAAGAAATCCGATTTTCAAGTTCCTGAAGCCCCCCATAATGGGTGTACAGGGGCGTATTTTCCAAAGTCTGGGTTCCCTTTTGAATCGCAAACTGATGGCATCCAAATTGAAAAAAGCAACAAAAACTTTAATTGACGCCTGGGAGTTCAAATTGACCCGGTTAATGCCCAAAAGTAACCCCCTAAAGAGGGGGCCGGTGTCCCCTCCACAAATTGCTCATTGGTCGCAAAACTAATGTAAATCCTGCAGAATTAGATAGTATGCTAGTGAATTGACATGAAGGAATCCAAAATTCATGGTCTCAAGAGCTCCCTTGACCACCCTACAATAGTTTGGGGGGGAGGGGGGGGACTTCGGTTAGGGTATCAGTTTATAAAAATTAGGTCAGTTATAATGAGTAAATTGGAGCTCTTGCATGCATGCCACAGGAATTTATTATCTTTATTAAATTTTGTTAGCAGAAAACCAAGAGGAGTTTCTTTTGGAAATATTATGAGGATATTCTTCCTGATCTAAGGTAAATATTCATACGGAGTTTCACAGCATGTATGCACCTCATTTTTTGTTCAAAAGGGCAATGTGAGAGGAAATTAAGCGACAAGAAATGCGATTGAGCTGATTTTGACAGTAGCTGTCCATTTCTGCCATGATAGCGGAGAGAACCGTAAGAGCATTTCTGCATGAGCCATGGTTAGCACGTGCTCTTATGTGTCTCACGGCTCATCCAAGAATACACTTGTGGCTCTCTTCGCGATTACGGCAGATTTTATCTTGAGAATTACTGATTACTGCCTTACATCAAAGATGAAACAAGAATAATTAATGTATGTACGTACTGAATACTTTTGACGAATGTCCCTCCTCTGGATTATGTGCTGAGATATCACCCTTCTCCTCTTCATCTTCTTCTTTCAAATTCTGGTTCACAGCAGCTACAAATTAAAATAAACTTAATTTTACTATGCATACCTGATGCATTCAATTAGAGCAGCTTACATTTCACCAACACTAGAAATTATGTTTCTGAAAAATTGAGCTGTTGATTACTTTTATTACAGCCGGTCTCAATGTGTCAGACGTTATAAATGGAACATAACAATGCATGAAGGTGTGGGTGCAGTGCTCAAGTAACACCATCCAATACTACTTTGAACCTATTTTTACAAAACATGACTCTACGGACTCAACAACCCTTGGATGTGGATACGTGACTCATTTTACCCAGCACTCATTCAATTAGTGGTGGGTAAAAATGTTGGACGATGATGACACTTGGTACAGCAGTATACAATATTTCCTTCATGTGAAGAGCAAGACGGACTAAAATATCAGCCCATTGAAATTTCTCTTCTTAAAGGAGACCAGATGTATGACATGTATGAATGCCCAAAATTCTGGCGAACGAAAATAAGGATGATACGATTGATATGACCATTAGTTTTTCAGCAAAATTAATCCATTAGAACCTACTAATGTACCTGTCAATTCAAGAATAGAAGATGATGTTTCAAATGATTAAGAGGATTCAGGACTCTCTATGCTATCCAATCAGAATAAAATATTACAGCGATTATAAAAACAACTGAAATTCTAGGTTACAAAATTATGTTATTTACCTAGGTGTATGTAATTAATGATGAACAAAAACTATGGTACTTTATGCATCATTTTCATAAAATAAACTTTAGATAGGTACCACCAAAGCATGTTTCTCTCACTTAGTTGAGAAGAGAGCTCATACCCTCACAATGAAAACACTCACCATGGTAAGCTTCAGGGTACTCCTTCTCAAGTTTCCCTCTGAGAATTCTTATCCTTTTAAAAATAGTTTCGAGGTCTTTCTTTATTTCTGTGAGCAGTTGTGTATGTTTCTTGAACTCAGCACCTGCAGATTTTAATCGGCTAACAGAGAGTGTGTTGCAATTTGTTAACATTTCATTTGTTTTCTCAAACCTCTGCAACCTACAAAAGAAAATGATAGTACATTACAGAGGAGATGATTAAAAGGGAATTATAAAAAGTAAAAGCATTTATGAAACTTGAAAAACGGTAAATTGTGGTACAAGAGCTATTAAATAGAAGGCTAATATCTACATCAGCTGAGGACCATGTAAACGGAGCCAATTTGCGGCATGCGAAAACAGAGGGGAAAAACTGATGCCAGAACGTAGCACCATACCCAAGCTGAGAGATATCTTCCTCCTTCCTACTTGTCGTGAGAGATTGCTGGAATGCTTATGGTTTTGGTGGGTGGGAAAACAGCCCATTAATTAAAATTTAGCCACCACAGGATGTATTGTCGCAACATGAAAAAAGGATTGTAGATGTTTAGCTTACATTCTTTTCTGCGCTCTGATCATAGATTCCACATCTTGCTGGTCGACCAATCCTGCTAGCCCTTGAATGAAAACTTCTGGAGCTGTGTAGTTTTGAAAACATTCTATGCTGCATAATTCACTCTCCGGAGTGACTTCATTAGCCATGGCCATGAGCGAAATCAATTTTAAAACAGTTACTGCAACTGTAAGTACTGAGTGTTGTTTTCTTTTTTTTAAGAGCTTATCACGCCCTCTTTAAAGTCTTTGGCTTTAATTTTTCAACAAACAGCCACTGCACTGAAATTAACACTTTATTAACTATTACTTCTTAACACACCGTGATTTAATATTTTTGTAACACATACCTTGATTTGTTTACTCTTTAGCTGTGACGTTTTATTGGTGACCTGCTCATCGTGCGCGCGCATCTTTAGTGTGACGTAATAATTATCAGAATGATAACAACAACAAACACACACACAAACTGAACTGATAAACCACTTTAAACTTTCAGCTTTCTCACTGTGATAAGTAACTGATAACAAATTGATAACAACCATTACAACCGTCAAATTTCGATTTTCAACTTTTGCTCTCAATATAATTTCTCCATCATAGCTGAAGTTAAACGGCGTAGGTGTAGTCCATCACCTTAAACTGCCCAACTATCTGTCATTTAGGTGTCAAGTGTCAAAATGAGTTGCTGCATGAAGAGTGAACCTCTAGCTGTTTCAAATTTTCGTGAATATCTCAGAATACCGTCTGTGCATCCCAATATAAATTATGGTAAGAATTTTCTTTCAGCCCTTTACTTTCAAATCTTGCTGGTTAGAACACGGAAAACCGCTGCACCTTAGCAGGAGATCACCAAGGTTTTCTTTCCTTTTCTTCATAAAAATCAACGTGAAGTAGCAAAGGCATTAAGAAAATTGATTTTTTGCGTTCAAATATTTGACACCTTGAAGGTATCATTTTCTATCTGTATCAGCACCTGTTGCAGCACTTTTCTTTAAAACATATGTTTCTAACTGCAGTCCTGTGCAAGTTTTTATTTACCAGCATGTATCTACCTTGCTTTTGTAAAATCTCTTTATTTAACCAGAGATCAACTGGTCTGCCTGGACAGTGAGTCAGTCCGGCTACACTTAAGCTCTTATGTATCCCCCAGGATCCCTGGAAACATCCTACGAAGATGTCTTCTCCAAGAGTTAGTATACCTCTGAAGGCAACTCACTTTACGAAATATTTAGACATTTCCCCGAATGGTACAGGAAAACTTTTTGTATCAAAGAGGATAACCTACAAAGTATTTAAAAGGAATTTTGAATAAACAGTCTGACAAATACTGAGGCAAACTAAAAAAGAATCAGAACTCAACATACAGAAATGGAATCAACCGAGGCTGGCACCTTTTATCTAATAGGTATCTAGATAATGGAAGAGTAGGTAAGAAACTTCCGCTCTTATCCATTAATTTTTTTAACTGCGCAAAGTATCTAAAATTGCAAAAAGTGATCCCAATTTTGTCTACCTGATTGTCTTAAGTTACATAATCCTGGATGTTGTACCAAAATCCTCAAATTGTCCAGTACCTACCTAACTGACCATCTTCACGAGTTGCGTTTAAGAAGGGTGATGAACAGGTCTCATTTTACATGCCTCAGATTGTTGAAGATAGTTGATGAAATTTATTTGAATTTGTAAAGGTGATGTATTCTTCTGTAGTACTATAACTAACCGATGTTCTTCTCATTCAGCATTTGTCTCATATTGTCTCTCTAATTTTCAGATGGCTGTATCGAGTTTCTCAGGCGACAAGCAGAAGGGCTCAACCTAAAGTTCAAAGTATTCGAGCTGAAGCCAAAAAAGCCAATTGTTGTTATATCTTGGTTAGGCACCAACCCAGAGCTCCCCTCTTTACTGTTGAATTCTCACATGGATGTTGTTCCCGTTTTTGAAGTAAGGTCACACATCACACAAAATTATGTATCACCTCAAAGCACTGCAGTTCATATTTCCCCATCAAAATTTCTTGCAAGTAGGACAGACAGACGTACAGACGTACTTGAAAGTCCAAAATCATCTCAGGGGAGCAGGAAGTTTCATACTTGCCATCCCCCAAATTTAATAAGCCTTCTCTCATGAGCCAAAAAAAAAAAACTTTTACCACCTCTAAAACTAGAGTACCTGTATAGCGAGAGTATGGACAGATGTGAAACTCCGGAAATCCATCAGGCCTTCACCGATGCTTCTGCGAATAAAGTTAGGGCCCAGAAATGCAGCCAACCTATGAATTTCAATTATCCAGAACGATTTACTAATACTATTGTTACGAGCCCTTGTTTATTAAGCACGTGTTTGACTCAGTTTTTGCATAATTTTACACAATTTTGCGGAAGAACGCTGATTTATGTACATTCTTGGCCATCTTGGTTAGAATTGGAACCTGCAGACTGGCAGTGAAATTTTGTGCGTTAGAAGTTGGTTAGAAGGGTGGCTGCACTTTTGGGCCCTAAGCCCTCCATGAAGCGATCTGTCCATACTCTCGCTATACAGGTACTCTATCTAAAACTTGAGCTTATCCATTGTTAATTACTTGCCTTCTCTCGTTGACCAAAAATAAAACAAAGAAACTAATACCCACCTATCTACCCCAAAAATTGGACTGATCCATCGCCAGCAGTAATTTAAAAAAAAATCTGATAGGGTTTTCCTATTTTTCCTATTCTCCCAGGGATTCTCTGATTTCAAGTGAACAACATGGGACTAAGTCAGTCATGTTTTCAGGAGGTTCCTGCACCCCTAAATCATCTTGTAAATGAGAAATCAGCATTTATAGTTGATACTATAAATTTGTGAAGTAATAATAGGTATAAGTATTAGTGTAAATGGTGTTGTCGGCCTCCTGTGGTGTAGTGGTTGTAGCGCTGGCCCTATGATCAGAACTTCCCATTTGCAAAAAATCAGCTTCAATAAATATAAAACTAATACATCAGTCAGGAAAATAACTAAAGGTAGATTTTACAAAATACTCTGAATCCTTTCATACATCAAAGTCTTAATTTTTTAAAGGAAAACTCAGTGTGCACCAGGAATTAATTTTATCTCATAGCATGCTGAAATTCTTTCAGTGACAGGTTCAATTTAAATAGAATGCTGTTTTTTGAAAAGCAGGAAGTTATTGAATTTACAAGTACAGAAAATGCACATTTCTCACTTTTGAGCTGAACTTGGAAATTTTGGATGTGTCCAACCCTGTTCTAAGTACTCATGCAATTTTGATGAAGAAACAAGAACTGTGGTACTTAACTTCTTACCCTGACCAGCAAGTAGTACAAAGTCCATTACAAAGTTCTTTCTTTCATCCCCCCCCCCCTCCCAAGTGAAGAATTTATATTTTTTCCATGTTTTGAGATCATGAATAAGTAGAGTGCGTATAAGTACCTTCTAAAATTAATTTTCATCGAAGATGATCCAAAATTGCCTCCACAATCGAAAAGAAAAAAGTTTTGTATTTTTGCTCCCTTTAGCTTTGGGGAGACTGGTTTTTAACAGTTTTATACCAAAAAAGACTCACTACAAGAAATTATCCCAAGAATTTAGCCTCTGAAATCTTCAACCGCAATCCCAAATCACCCTGTGCACTTTCTTTCTCTGACAATAGTGCAACACTAAGAAGATAATCTTACCTCTCAGAGATGTTGAAGTTATCATAAATCATGTTAACTTTTTTAGCGCTTGCATCAATAATTCTTAGGTACTCAAGAGTAAGCATGAGAGATTATAATGAGCTACTTCTATTCGTATCTGTCTTCAGTATACAAAGTCTTTGCATGCTCAGAACCCTGCCTCTAATGTCCCGAGTAATTTGATGATTCTGAGAAAGTCATATAGATAACAGCAAAATCTGCCATTATGCTCCTAAAAATGAAGGGAGGCCTTTATTGAATAGTAAAATTGCATCTCTTCATAGAGAAAAAAAAGGAGGTATTTGCATCTTGAGGTTTGTTTACCCTGTGACGGAGGTCGGTACAACCTGGCCAGCGAAATCCGGAATTCGAAGTATGAAAAACGGACCATAATGTCCGATTCTTTTACTTAAATCAACCCATGATATAGTTTCAAGCACTTTTTATAGAATGACTTTTTTCCATAAATCACATCATTTCCAAGAAAATCGATGATAAACGTCGCTGTACCGACCTACGTCATCAAAAAAATTCCAAGATGCCCGAAATGCAAACACCTCCTTTTTTTTCTCTATGACATCTCTTTGTTTTCTCCTGAATGAAAAAATCCCTACGAAACTGTAATACAACAGCTGTATCATAAAAACCCAGAAAATATGCAGACAGTGACTCTCCCACAAATCGAATTTACTTTACTAAATGGAGATTATCACAGACTGAATCTACTGCGCAACGAAGTCACCATTGCCTAATTCTCGTTTTGATTTCAAGTGCTTTTAGAGTTGTGCTTAAAACGTTGATAAGCATAAAACTGTTAAGCTTATCCGTAAGAAGTCTGCCTAAAGTAGTAGGAGTCTGAAAGTCTGGTGCTCTAATCTTTAATTTTCTCAATAGCTTTTTTTGAAAGTTTTACTATGCTGCTATCAATAGCCATGCCGTTAGCTGATTATAAAAAGGAAGATTTTTGAGAGTTGAATTTCCCTGCGGACATGCTTTCTATCAGAGATGACTCACTTCACAGATACCGTCAGTGACAGGATCATACCTCTTTTTAAAAAGAGGCCATCTATTCTGTGGATGATTTTTGCTTTTTAGTCTTATGATAGCTTGGTTGCGAATAATTCTATGCTCAAGCCTTACCTATAGCAAATTGAAGACTAGTTTTTGATAGCCAAAACAGTAGCCTCAAGCAGATTGAATGTTCTTCCCTTACATTTTTGCAGATAAGTCCGTTTATCGCTAAACTTAGAATTAGCTAGAGTTGCACGAAGCAAACAGGACATATTTACAGAAGATTGGAAATACTAAGAGGCCATGGAGTTTAATTTTTGAGAGTGTCCTCTGTTTCTAGACCCTCCTGCTCCAGTTGTGCCATTCCAATTTCGTATCCCAAGCATCTTAAACTATTACACATATGTCCCTTTTGCTTGATTCCATTAGAATATTTTTTTGAAAAACTGCTCAAACTGAAGTTGAGAAAAATCTATAATAACTGAAGTTTTAATGCAGAAATTTACGTCAGTGTTATCTTTCATGACTGATTGAATTGTCACAATATGATCATTCCTCAGGAAAAATGGACGCACAAACCATTTGCAGCCATCAAAGACGAAAATGGAAATATTTATGCACGTGGAGCTCAAGACATGAAATGTGTTGGAATTCAGTACATTGAAACAGTCCGCAAGTACATCCAAGAAGGCTTGCATCTCAAAAGAACTTTACACTTAACTTTTGTCCCAGGTAACTCAACTCAAAGTTGGTAATGTATCATCATTTCTTTGTATGCACCGATTTTTGTGTTCGTGAGCTACAGCTCTTCGAAGCCAGTAATATTCATTACATAATGATTCAAGCAAGAGTATTTGTGCATTAGTTTTTTCAGGGGAAAATATCAAAGGGGCATCTAAAGTTTATTCACCTATTTCAAGGATAAATTAGTTCAATAAATGGTATTAAATGTGAGAAGGGTACCTACCTTGCTTTAACTTGTTTTCATCTTAATTTACAGATGAAGAAATTGGTGGCGTCGATGGAATGGGACTTTTCATTAAAACGCAAGAATTCAAGAATTTAAATGTAGGCTGTGCATTAGATGAAGGTATGGCTAGTGCCACAGATGAATTTATGCTGTACTATGGAGAGCGATCAATTTGGGGTAAGTGTTCTCCAGTTGTTTTTGATCGATACTGCAATTTAAAATCTCTTTGGGATCTGACGATGAGATTACATGAACTGAATTTTTTGTCAGAAGTTTTGCAGGCTCTACTTTATTGATGATAATTGGTGGAACCTCACCCCAGTTTCATTACCTATTGGTGAAATCTAAGGGAAAATGATTTCCGTATGTATCAGAAATTAAATGTAATTTTTACTTCTAAACAGACCTTATTATGTTAAACTTCTATCCTTAAATACAATCTGATAGTCCTGTCCATCATAAATATTAGAAATATTTAATAAATTGGAAGTCATCTGAGTGTTTAAAACCTATTTTGGTGTCTGAAATACAAAATTAAGATTGCCTCAATAGCATTGGTGTAAAACAACCTGTAAAGAGGGTGTTTAAAATGCTATAAGATTTTTTATTAATTTGATTCGTTTGTATTGGAGGTAAAATATTCCTAAATTTAACATGCTAATTTTCTGTGAGGTTTCAAATAAAAAAGATCTGAGATCAGGTTAAAAGATGAAAAAAAGCTGCCTGTTTTGTCTTTTGAGGCATAAAGAATTCTGCAGATTTCACGCTAAACACTGGTTTAAGAACAATATTCTCCCTCCCTTCACTAGGCGCCATGCACTCTAAAAATCAAGCTTTCATCTAAAAATGAGAAATTTTGTAAATTAGTGCAGCCTCAGATCCTATCTTAGCCCTATTCTTCACAAAATGTCCAGAATTGCCATCAAGAACAATACGCAAAAAGTCTGAATAATTAAATGAAAGAAAAAATGCCCAAAAAAAAAGGATACTCAAGGGAAAAAAACGCAAAAAAAAGCCGCAGACATTTCCATGCAAAACTAGGGATCTTCGTTTTTTTTAAGGGGGAGTCAATTTTATTCTCCCATTTTTTTCATTCCTGTTTGACAAGAGGATCAAAACCACCCCGAAATATCCAAGGTAGTTTATCTAAAACTTGTTTACCCACTTTTCTCTTGTTTTTCTTACCCTAAATTGCACATGACCTCTAAAAAATCGTGAATAAGGCCTAAACACTAAGCTTCTCAGCCAGATGGCTCTTTAATTGTTGGGATGGTGTTAAACATTGTGTAGGAACTTAAAAATCAGCAGGAAAAAGAGTACTTACCTTGATTTATAAATAACCACATATCACATTTGTAGCTATTACATTTATCCGAAAAATTAGTGTAAAAACACTTCTGTGATGAGTTTTCCTCCCTTTGCTTCATATCTCTATCCATAGCAATTTTTAATGCCTTGAGAGATCTTTGAATTTGGAATGGATATTCTGTTACACAGTGTTTGATATTGAGTGCCCGGGACAAACTGGTCATGGATCTCTTTTACATGAGAACACTGCTGGAGAGAAATTATCTCTGGCTCTTCAAAAATTTTTGGATTTTCGTGAGAAGGAAAAAAGACGGCTTCAGTTGAACCCAGATTTTACAATTGGCGATGTTACAACACTCAATCTCACAATCATAAATGTAAGTATCTCTTTCTTAGGAATGCTTCATTCAATTATTCAGGAGATTTGCAAGCCCAAGAAAGGAAAGGGTGCTCAGGAAAGGAGACCTTGTGCCTCAGAATGCCAGTGCATTGAGCTCAAGCTGAGATCATTTGATAAAAAAATCTCCGAATTCTGTACGGTTTGAAACAAAATAAAAATGAAGCCCTCACCTTTTCCAACCATGATTTTTCTTCCTGAAATTTTGGTGACTAAAAATTCATTCTCGCTATTGCAGAATGCTACAGGTGTCTCTTCATCTTATCTTGCGTCATTGCCATTGTTAAAACTGTAGTCAGCTAATATTCGAGCAGTTTTGCCGAGTTCCGGCCTAGGTTGCCATTAATTTAGCCTGTTAAGTCTCGGAACTTAGTTTCAAGAGATCTTTCTCGGGGAAGGAAAAAGTTAGACGTCTCTGTCTTATATTTTTTTAAACTGCCATAAAATGAAGAAATTTTTACCAAAGGGGCTCAACTTGATGCTACTCGAAAGAAAATAAGCCGCCCCATCAAGTGCAACCAAAACCAGCTCATAAGGTGTATTTGTTTCAAGGTTATGGTGCCAGCTTGGGTACTTTTGGGACACCCTATGTATTAAGTATGTATGTAGAGTGATTTTGAAACGCTTTGATAGAGATCCTTGGTTTTAGATTGATATTTTTCTTCTGGGCAGTTCTGAGCATAATTGAACATCATTACTAATTCATTTGTGGGAAACGATTTGTTACGTAATCTTCAGAAACTGGTCACAATAAACTTCTTAAGAGTTTCCATGTTTCAGACTTTGTCCTCCAGGTGTCAAATCCATCTAGTTGCTCATACATAAATTGGTATTGAAGCCATTGTGATGTGAAACATCTGAAATAGAGTGGTTTCAGATTGTCTTAGAAGTACCATAAAAGTTCCAATTTTTTCAAAAAATTGCTGCTACAGATTCAGGAGAAAATTCTAGAATTTGAAGAAAATACTCTCTGTTCAATTGTTGGCAACAAAGATGAGGTACATTACGAGCATAAAAAATTTACAAATTAATGAGAGCAGAATAATTTTGCATATTATCAGATCCTACTAATTTTTGAGGTCTATTCCAACCAATCATGAACAAAACTGAATGAAACTAAAGTATTCTGTGTTCTCATAAGATGATTTTACTATCCATATTTCAGGGCGGAGTTCAGAACAATGTAGTGCCCCCCGCATTTGTTGCGACTTTTGATTGCCGAGTTGCAGTCGATGTTGACCACACAGAATTTGAAGCCAAGTTGAGACAGATGGCCAGTGAATGTGGCGCTAATCTTTCCTTTCGGCAGAAAATGCCAAAAATTGAAGTTACCAGTATAGACCCTAAAACCAACCCCTGGTGGAACATTTTTAAGAACGAGTGTGATAAAATGTAAGACCATAGTACTAAGTTATTTCTATTCATTTATTTCACAATCAATATATGTAAGCCAAAAATTGGTAATGTTACAGGTCAAAGTTCGGACGAAACTTATCTAGATTTTATGCTTTTTTATTACTGCACATTAGCCGATAATAAATAAAATAGTTTCTACGAATTCTACTTATATTCATACTACGTCTACCACTATATTAGGAATTTCATGAGACTAAGATAAGTTTTTTCTTTCAAGAGGGGCGGGAGCATTAACTTGAAAGTAGGCATGATACCTGTCATTACTGAGTCATACGAATACGTATTTGTCAAGGGAGCTTGGTCATCAATTTGTCTTTGATTCTTGGATTCTTATCTTCACAATCATGTGTCTCATATTGAATTATGCTGTGTCTGCAGGAATGTTTCTCTGAAAACTGCTGTCTTTCCAGGTGGCACCGACTGTCGCTACATCAGAGAGGTTTGTCTCCAATTTCTCTGTCTAATTTTTTTTTTTTTTTTTTTTTTTTTTTTTTTTTTTTTTGTCATAGCTTTGATACAGGCTGAACAAAAGTCAATATAAAAATAGGTTTTGTGCCTCTTTGAATGAAACACCTCATGTTGTGAAAATTTCATCTAGAACAAATAAAATCTCTTCATTCCTTAGGTTTTACAGTTCGGCAAATCCACATTATAGAATGTACATGGGAACTTTCATAAAATTTTCTGGCTTTTTTTTTAGGCGTGTGAATTCTGTGCTCTAGAGGCACAGTCCATTTCAGATGGTGAAACCAAAAAATAAAAAAAGAGAGGAACGTATCTTTATCTATTTCCTCATTTTATTTTTCCAATGGAAAACCAAATCATCGATTTTTCCTGAAAAATGATGTGATTTTTTCACCCTCTGAGAATATTCTTTGAAAATTTTACTGAAAATGAATTGCTGGTCTTCTATAAAACAAAATGTAGCATGAGAAGAAATTGTAAAGCTCATAGTTGAGATGTATTCCCCTATGGGATTTTCTGACACACCAGACAGAGCTTAACACTCTCAAATGGAAAAAAAAATGAAGATATTTACATGTGTTCTGTCTTTTTTCATTTTCGATCTGATTTTTCTAGAAATGTCGAAATTAATCTCTATAACTAATAGTCAAAGTGTGCTGATTCTTAAAATAACTGTCCTTAGGCACTATAAAAAGTTATTCTACTCCTTGATGGCCAAAGTTGAAAAATCTCAGAAATTTCAAATTGCGACGTTGTAACTCTGCTCCTGTTTTATTATTTCCAAAAGAAACCAACCCACAGCTCCCATTGAAATTTTTTGTGAATTTCCTTCACTTATTCTTAATAAAATAATACAAAATTGTAAGGAAGCACTTTGATTAGTTTTCCTTAAGGGAAATAATATACAATGAAAGATTTGTTTACATATTGCAATTAGGCTACAATTTTTTTGCATTCAGCCATCGGTATATTGATTTATATGTATAACTGTCCACAGAGAAAGGGATCTCCGAGAATAAAGAATTTTTTTAGATTAGCAATTTTTCATGAATCAGGCCGAAAAATTTGAATTTGCATTTTCGACATCTCAGCATCTTATAAAATAAATTACTAGCAGTCAGGTTCATTATTATGCCATCAAGGGTGTAAAATTACATTTTAGACCAATAATCTTGAATCTCGAACATTGCGGATCAAAAATTTTAATGGCTTTCTCTTAAATTACTTTTTATGAACTGCAAACTTCGAATTATTAGAGTCCATGTCAAATAAATTTAAGAGCTTTAAGACTGCGCCAGAAGACCTGCCATCTTGACTCGAGCATTTACTGACGTCACATGATCTTCTGTCGCAGTTTAAAAGTGCGTAAACTTATTTACTGTAAACTATCATTCCTCTAGTCTCGTTTAACATTTTTGCTCGTTTTTCCAAAATATTTATAGAACTTTCTCTATGCAAGATCCCTCCTCCCATGGCAGCCCACTTAAATGTTCTTTTAGAATTAATATGCTATGTTTTCCATTCATTGTTTTTTCAATATCTTTAATCTTGTCATTTTTTGGTGATATTAGGTTGGTATTCCAGCTTTTGGTTTTTCTCCAATGAACAAAACCCCAGTTCTTCTACACGATCATGATGAATTTTTGAATGAGCAAGTCTTCCTCCGAGGCATCGATATCTATTACAACCTCATTAAAGCATTGGCCACTGCTTGATCATGACAGTTGTATCTCCATTGATGCACGTCCTCTCAGAGTCAAGTATTCTCAAAGAGATCAATATCTTCCTTAAAGCTTAGAATTATGTGCTTCCTTTTTAATGCATTGCTCAATGTTTAACTCCTCTCCATTCTAACCTTTTTTTTGCATATTTCAATGGAACTTAATTTGTTGCTAATATTTCTAACAGCAATCTTCTGGAGCATTTCATATGATAACGATTTGATTCCACAGTTCTTTGGACTTTACAAGAGAGTCACTTCATCCGTGAGTTGATATTTTTAAGGATGGTGGAAGGAACAACAATGAATACCTAGTCGCATCTTGTTTTGAAAAAATGTCCAAAATTTTCATTCTCTTCCAGATATTACTAGAACTGAATTACAAAAATGAGTGTGCAGTTTCAGTGATTTTTGTAAGGAAAAAACATCAAGAAAGGGCCATGTAGAGGTTAGTAAAACCATGCAGTAGTTCAATGCAGAGCAGACGTGCAATGACATACCTAGCAGGTTTCCAAAAGTATTGGTTAGCTTTCTGTTTGAGCAGATAAAAGATTTTTCAACTCGACAGTAAGAATAAGTACTTCATCTATCAATGTGTTACCTGATACTGCATTTGAAATTTTTTCTCAACAATAATGGGACAGTGTCTGAAAATCAGATTCCTTTTCTCATAATCATATGTGCTCATAATTCTAAACAATGTATCTAAGAAAGACCATACTCATGGTAATTACATGTAAAACACAGCGTTTGGTTTCTATTTTGCTGAGGAGGAGTGATTTCTCTTGATTGAACATTACAAAAGAGGGAATCAATTGAGCTTTTGAATTCAAATGTTTTGCCCCCAGTTACTTTCTGAAAGTCTAGTTTGTAAGAGCCTGAGCAAAACGACCAATCCTGTAATCCCACTTTTTCTATTCTGTGCCAGAATTTTCGTAGGGAAAAAGAAAAAAAGTTTAATTTATGTAGAATGTACGGTAATGGAATCACCCTATGTCTTTTCGCAATGACCTCTTCATATTGGAGGTTCATCTAGGCCTTTGACTCTTTTCTAACTGAAAAAATTCAGTAATAGCAGGTACTAGTCAAGTATTAATGAATTTAAAAATACAGGTTATTTTACAGGAATCTTCCTGTCATGTTCTTCCATAATTTTTACTATTAACTATTATTCCGACAATGTTGTTTTTAGATTTATACACTATAGTTTTATGTATACTCCTATTCATAAGTTTTTAAATATGAACAGGCGTAATTTTAGTGATAATTAGAAATTTATGTTACCCTAGGCGTTGGTTGTGATCGTTGACTATTTTTTAATCGAAACAGAAAATTAATTATTTTCAGAAAGATTCTTTGAACTTCCAAAAAACTAGCCATGAGTGCTGTTCTTTAAGAACGTATCCTATCAAATGTTAAAAATAAGCCTCTGTGCAATCTGATGTTTAGTTTGATCATTACAAGTTATTCTGAAAAAGAAGCCTGTCACTAGTCTTTACAACTTAGTCCAAGTCTCAGGTCTTATTAACATATCATCTATGTTAGTTAACTATTAAAACTTGTATTGAACAAAGTATTCAACTTTTGAAAATAAGAAATAGCTCTATAATGACCCCTGAAGGTCTCTAATGGTATGAAAGAAAGTTCTTTTTTCTCATTATTAGACAACTATGATAACTTTCTGCAACAGCAAGCTGTATATCTTCGTGCATTGTCCATTTTTATTCGAAAATGTACTAGTGTGTTATGTGTGGAGCTGCGTTCTCCTAGTTTAAGACAACTTCAGTGCAACTTGCCACGGTAAATCGCATTCTAAAACTGCACCTGAATTCTGCCTCAGCTTCTTCTGAGCACAAATTTTCTAAACAAGGTCGAGATTTTTACATACCTGCAGCAAAGTTACTAGCGCTGATGAGTTTCTTCTCTGTAAGTACTATCAGTTTCATGCTAAAATTTCATGCATGTTGGCCAAATCATCAGCTCTCTGTCTAAAATTAAACGGCCTATTCAAAGCAAAATGTGAGTACCACAGGATTTTTTGAGGCTCCACGCCCCTCTCTCAGTGAGCTATTCAATTCTCTAATGTAAATGTAGTTTTAGTAAAGTGCAGTGCATGGCAACATCATAATTAAAACATCACCGAAGTATTATCCTCACCCGACTGAGATGTTTTTTGCATTAATTATAAACTGAAGCACCCTACAAATTCAGGTCAGCAATAATATTAAAAAGTTATTTTACTAAGATAGAAAACACCCTGTAATCATGGAGAGAATAAAAAAGGTGGTGGCAAGGCCAGACAGTCACCATTAGATTTGGCCATTCGGCAGAAATGAACATGAGGCTGTCTGTCAATGAAAACAGGACAGCAATGTGTGAGGCCCAAGACACTGCTTTGTGCCGTACACCAGACATCTTCATTACAACCCTCATTAGACCTGTAATTGGTTGCTGTGATGTTAAATGTACATTTCCCTGCTCGTCACCACCATATGTATTTTCTCTATGCTTTGTGACTCATTGGCATTATCACAACACAGCACATCCCTTGCCATGCATAAACGCTTTCAGAAGTGTGTTATTTTAATCTTACTCAATGTTTTCTGTGAAACATTTTACTTTTATCTTTCTAGTGATTAATCAAGTTACCAATTAATTTTTTTCTTTTATTTTATTTTGAATGCAGACAGCAAATTTGGTTATCCATGAATGTAGCAATTTCCTTCTCCTCTTAAGCTCTTCAAGTAAGAACTTAATAGTGTATTTCCCTCAAAAAAGACACTAACAATTAACAAAATGAGCTCTATGCGTGTCGAAAAGATAGGCAATATACAATTGAATGAAAAATTACAACTAATTTCAGTTTCATTGCAATAAATTTCACTAAGAAGTGTTCCCTCAATCGGTAGATAGGCAACATACACAACACTCAAGGAAATAACATTAATGTTGCCACATGATTGCAATTTTTCTGTGCTACTTGGGTCAGTCCTATCAGACATTGGTAGTACAGCTGTCTGCAAACAGACCATGACGTTTGTCATGGCAAAAGTACAGAAGCATTTTCCGAAAAATGATATGAGCTCTAAAAGAAACTGATTTTTTCAGCATAAAAGTGACTTTATTTTTGACAACTGAACAAAAGGAATAAAAGCTGCGTAAATGATAGGTCACCGAAAACAAAATAGCTGTTTTTCTTACCTCAACTGTTAAACTGTTCTACGTAATCATTATTTTCCTTTCTCTGCAAATTATTGGTGACAACATTATAGTATTAACTTCTGAATGTGATAGTAGAAAGACTTCTATTCAGTCTCAAAAGAGGTAAAGTTGCTATTTTTAGATTAAATATTTTTTTTCCATACATGTGTTCATGTAGTCTTGTGCATTTTTAATCAACGCATCTTTTAAAGGAGCGAAGGAAATTCTCAAATTTCTTTTAACTTTTTAAAGTCAAATCCCTGACACAACAATTTTGACTCCTACCAATTAGAAAAAGCAATAAGTTACCTATTTTTAAAAATTATTTTATTCATTGGTTAGAATTATGATATAAGAATATATTTTTTCAAGACTAATTCACACAGATCAGTCATTGCGCAGCTTTTGTGAAATCCACTCCCCCGCCCGGCCCTAACTCGCAGCACTCAATGCTACGTCACAATGGGTGCTCCCATAAGAAATACATTGCAGGCACTCAATACTACGTCACTGCGCAGTAGAGTACCAAAACTTGTCCTTGGGAATGACTGACCTGTGTGGATTGGTCTTGTATTTTTTTAAATGTAAGCATTCCGGAAAAAGTTGAGGAAATCGTTGGTCAGATATCATTGAAACATTTTTTGTGAGCATTTTCCGAAGGAAAATACTAGTGGCACAGGACAACTATCCTGCGAAGAAAAACTGTAGATTAAGGTCTTAACTTTCAGATGGTGGGCGCAATTATAAATTTAGGAATTGTAAACTTCATGCAAGCTACACTGAAACCACAACTGGGGTGATGCTTCCCCTTCGGAATATACACAATCCCTGCAGAGGATAGGTCTTTAAATAACGAACATCACAACTGAACCGCTCATCCAAACTAAAAAAGCGCTTGCACAAAGCGCACGTCCAGGGGCGAGGCCACCCCATTAATTCAGTTCAGAGTGTTGTTTTATTTCAAATTTAGTGTCTTCCTTTTTGCTTATGCGGCGCTGTTTCTAAGTTAAGATAAATCGTTTCTCCTTGTTTTCCCACACTGTTTTGCTATGTTGACCTAATTGAATAAATTTATTTTTCATTTATTTTCATCATTGGAATGTTCTTCTTAACCTGCGCAGAATATCTATCAGAAAATGTTTACCACCACGTAAATGTCGAAAAAGGGCTGTTTCTTTACTTTCAAATTTTTTAATTAAGTTTGAAACGATTATAACTGATGCATATCTGTTCATGCCAAGTTCATTACTTGAAAAACAATGGGAATATACAGACTAAATTTTTTAGGAGGCAACTGGAATTATGAACTTCTTCTTAGAGACCTGTGCTACAGAACCAACAGCAGATATGCTGTTTCTGAGGAAACCCCAAAACAACCGATTTCTTTTGATCAAAAGCATCTAGTAACTAACTGCTGAAGCACTTGAAATTCATTATATGTATGGATATTTTGAAACTATAAGATTGTGATACGTGGTATCAGAACTCTGCAATTTAATGTTATTGTCCTCCTGTTGCTGTTTTGATTACCAAAAAAATTAGTTCACAAGTTTTTCTTCAGCGATTGCATTAGCTGACAGTTACAAAGCTACAATATTGAAGATATATCTTGAGAAGTGCCATATTTGACTGAAAAATTGATTCTGATCATGTACATCATACAAATTGGGATTTGAGGTCGTAAAAGAAAACTATATTAATTACAAATGACATACTTTTTATTTTTTTACAGTTAGAATCTTTCCAATTATTATCACTAAAATCATGCAAATCCGAATATTGCAAACAAATTTAAAAGAAGAGAAAGAAAATAATTCAGACTTCTGAATGTACAGCAGTGTTAAAATGTGTTCTTCGCTTCTTTAATTTTGAAACATAGAAAATTCAAACTAAACGCGACTACGAGGGGTAAAAATCAAAAGGCATCTTGTCATCAAATAAAACTTAAAACAAAGAAATAAAAATTTGAAACAATAGGGTGCATCATTTCGTTTAATAGAGATTGATGCTTGATAAAAACAAAAACAAAATTTAAACAAGCTTAAAATTTAAGGCTTTGTCTTTTCTTGATATTTGTCTGCAACCCATCTATTTTGAGCTATTCAATATTAATTACTGCAACAAGCAGACCTAGAGCCTGTTTCAGATAACTTGTCCTCTTTTGTTATGTGCGTAGAAATGAGAATTCCTTTTTCTCCACAGGCATCAAAAAGAACAAGCTATCTGAAGCACGCTCTGGCAGCAGATCTCAAGATTTGGATTACATTTTGCAATAAGAAACCCGCTATCTCGCGCTCTTCTATAAGAGCACCGATCTGCATAAGAAAACCAATAGCATATAAAATCAGTCAGAAATAGTGGTTCCTTGTTGCAAAATGAAGTCATTTAGGGATCTTGCTACTTGTTGGCCAGCTTGCTTCATTTCTTCTCCTGAGTTGGGAGATAAAATTAGGGCCACGTTAAACAGAGAGGAACTGAGTCACATCAGCTAGTGCTAAACTTAATTAGGCAATTGAATTATCTCACATAAAAACGGTTGTGTGGATTTTTGTGCAAATTTCAGTGAATTTTCTACATATTACAAGGTGAATTCCGTAGAATTTTCAAAGGAATCCGTACAAACCTTTTCTTGTAAAAAATTAAAGTGCCCAGATAAATTTGGCAATTGCTGATGCGGCTTGGTTTCTTTCTGCTAAATGTGGTCCATTTGTCAATACAACTCATTTCGACCATTCATTGCTGGAAAATGTCATGCCAAGACAGGGCATGAAAAAATTAAATTTGTTCTTTAATTGACCAGAAGAAGAAAACAAAGGGAATATTGAATTAAAGGCATCGAGTGCTTGACAATCTAAGTGCAAATTGTTCACAGGTCAGATTGAACAAAAGTAAATCTGTGACCCTTTAGCTGAAACTTATTTTAAGACTCAAATTAAGTGACTCTCACTGAATGTTAGAGAGAGGAAACATTACTGGACATTTAATTGCTTAGCAAAGTTTTCAACCACTCACATTACTTATAGCAGTACACACTGATAAGGAGGGGATATTTAAGGAATCAGCATCAGATAAACTAAAATTTTTGAGAAATGAGGTGACTTTTCCCTAGAAAAAAGTGTTACTGAATCAGTAGAACATGGTAAAAAAACACAAACAAACAGAAAGTTAATTTCATTTGAGGGGCACTTTTTTTTGTTCCTGATATGAATCCAAAACTGGTCCATATTCAACAGCTTAAACGTCCAAGAACATATATGGACACTGTTTCTCTCTCCTCTTCTTCCAATTATTTCACTACACCAAAAATTAGCTTGTAACATTCATGACAAATGAGTACCACAAATAACCCTTAATGTATACCATTGAAAAGAGAGATTTAGATTTTCTTTGGTAAAAAAAAAAAAAAAAAAAAAAAGAAAGTAATGATAAAAAAGCCATGAAAAGCCTATGTGTGTTAAATGAAGTTCGTGGAGGCGAAAAGAAAGATGTACACTGGTTAGGAACTTTTGTGATAGTACATCATAATTGTATACACTCAAACCCATATAAAATCGCACAATTATCGAAAGCGAAGGATGGCAAATAGAAGAGATATACTCACAAGTATAAAAAATAAACAATTTTCAGCAATTATTCTTAGACACGATCATACTAAATAATCAGATCCTTTTGTAAAAAATATAAGTCGCCAATCACCTTTCATATATACCATAGGTAATACATTCTATCTTGAAAACAAAGTTTCTTTAAGTTTCATACGGTACAATTTAAAAATGCTAAAGACTGCCGGAGCCTCAAAAACTTGTGGCCTTAAAGATGAAACAAACTCCACCTTTCTCATTCATGCCTTGTCAACTTTTCCAAAAGATCTTCGCCGTCCATCAATAAGTTGACATTTACCACATATTGACACAACCAAAAAATATTTCAGAGGCACTTCATTTATGCAAGTTCTCCAAAGTTATGAGGTATTAAAGATCATCTCATGGGATAAATTAATCAAAACGCTTTTTCAAGTAAAGTTGTTGATACAGCGCCTTTTCTAGTACTGAAGTTCGAACGGCATTGCCCAGCAATTTCAAAAAATCATGAACATGCTCACTAGTCAAATTTAATGAGCTTTGAAGTGTTTTCTAAGAAAAATCACCAACATTTCTTACCATAATGGTTTTAGAAAAAAAACAAAAAATAATTCAGGAAATGAGATCGCTCACATACACACATTTAAACAAATCAAAAACCGACAGGGCTGTGAGATTCACTGATAAATTTATATTTTACAAAAATTCACGGTGAGTTCAACAATTATCATTTTTTTCTCTTTCTGCTCAAGGGTTATAATGCATGATTATTTGATTATAGAGAAAACAATGAGGAATAAAGCCCTTGCTAATAATAAATTGAAGGGACACTTGTAGACAGGAATCCTTGTTAATCCAATCATAAAGGTAGCTTAACAGAAAATCTTTGCTTACCTAAAGCATCGTTTTCAGTATTTTTCCTATGTAAAATCTTTGTGAATTTCCTTCATTTTTACTAAAGCATGCATGGAAAAATAACCTCCAGTGGAGGAAAAAAGCTACTAAGCACTATTAGCAACTGCAAAGCATTCAGAGGAAGTTCCCTGAAGCTGTGACATCAAAATTTTCTTAAACCAAAATCTGATTGGCTGCAAAAGAACTAGTTTATGCGATTAAGAGAGAATAAATCTACCTGGCCAAAACTTCAAGCAAGGAAATAATTCTTGACACTGTATTGACAGGCTGAATTCCTTCTCCTATCTTTGTTCACCGCCAATAATTTTGTTCCCCAAGTTACTCTGTATTTTAAGAACTGAGAACCTTGCAGGGGGCGACATACAGTGAAAATTACAGAGACTTTCAGTATGCCTTATGAATGTAAAGTACATAGCAGAAAAACAGTCGCTAGCATAGGAAACGTCCAGTAATGCCTTGTGACACAAAAATTTAAATGTTAGGACATGAGATTAGCTCAGCTGCTGACAGGTGAAAAAATGCTGTTCTTGCAAATAATTTTGTGTTTATGTTCAAAAATTTTGAAAAGCTGAGCTGAATCTTTGTAGAACTTAAGAGAAAATACTCATGCATGGAGCTTGGTGTGTATAAAAACCAGACAGTTTATTTATTCTGAGTGCAACATCTGCTTTTTTACACCCATGACTTCAAACGCTTGGTTAACGTACGGTTTGACTAAGCAAATAAGAGAGTCTGATACATTTTGACTGCAAGGTTGCAAAGACAAAATTGGAAAAAATAAAAATCACAAATGTGAGCTCACTCAACTGACTATTTAAAAATTATGTGAATCTCTGTACAGTAACATTGTCAGTCAAGTAGGAGAGGATAACAGCTCAAGGTATCTTAATTACAAAAATGTACATACAGTTACACAGGATTTGATCAACAATGACGTGAATCATAAGTACTTGCACTTGTGAAACATACCTCCCAAGAACATATTTTGAGAGGACTTCAAGATTCTTCCATCAATCAGGCCTGTAGATGGGTATTTTGGGAATGAATTCAATGAGCAGGACCTGTAAAAATTAACCCGAAGGAAACTGATTAGCATATGTTTAACCCATTCCTTTAGTATTAAATTTGGCATGCTTGAGTATTAATAGAGTATTTAATTTCACTGCAAAAAGCTGTATTTGGCTTCATCCTAGTTTTCTGCTTTTCCTGATAACTAGGAGCAAGTTTTTGGCCTAATTCTTGTTAGTTATCATCAGTATGATGTTCATATAAATGAATTTGCCTGGATGTGACGCCTTTTCTGCAGTAAAGCAGCTCAAGTATGTTGGGTGAAATTCCTGAGAAAATAAATTGAAAAAATTTAAATTTAGGAAAAAAATCTTATTTGTTTGTAGCAAAAAAACATGCAGTCAGTCAAAAAAGGTTCCTCAACCTAGAAAATACTGATATAAATAAAAAATATTGGTTGCAATACACTCTAACTGCTCAAATAGTGCAATAAAAATGAAATAAATGCAACAAAACAAAGAGGGAATTTTGAGGTTATCCCACCCTCCTGCATTGTGAAACTAAGAAATTACCGTACAAAAACAATATGGGTTGGTCACGCTCAACGAACTACACCTCTAGAATGGCCGCGAGATAGCAAACCTGCGGAACGCGCAAGGGCCGGTTTTTGAAGGCAGGAGGGGGGTGGGAGCCCAAGTGTAGCTAACCTCAATCTCCATTTCTGCTGCGTCTTGCCCATAAGGATTACATGTGAAAATTTCAACCTATGTAAACTTTCATTTTTTTTTAGGTTTGCTTTCAAAGTTCCTATTTTTTGAGTTAAGAAAACCTTTGGAGGTGCGATTATTATGCAATCTTTTCATTGCTATCACTTTATTCAACAATATTCGGCAAAATGTGGGCAGCGTCTGACATGGGTTTAGATGGCAGCCTGCTGTGTGAGCCCAAGTAAACCTAGCCTATATCAACTTCAAAACGTTCCGGGTCTCTAACACTGGTCGGCCATTCTAGAGGTGTAGTTCGTTGGTCACGCTACTGCCAGTGAGCACATCTGTTAATATACGTGGCGCTATCTGTAGTGAATACATCAAAACACAGCAATACCTGTTGCCAAGATACATGACAAGATCCTTGAAGAAAAAATGGTGCAATTGATAGTAAGTTTGCTGCAGCATTTTGGCATCAGCTATCAGTGTTTGATAAGTGAATTTCGAAAAATTATACTAAAAAATTGTTCATCTTCAGTAATGGTCTTGTATATTCATAGACCGTTTCAGAAACATAATTTTTAGTTCGAGCAGTCTTGTAATTTTTTAATCTACTTTCTCAAAATCTAACGAAAACTTGATTTGAGGCACATTAACCACTATTGGCTGAAAGTATGTACATTAGGGTGGTTCTTATTTTTCGACTTTTCGAAAATCAAAGGTCCGACCCCCCTAAAAGTTGTCATTTGGTGTAAAAAGAGCCTACAAAAAATTTCAGCCCGATCGGATCATCCTAAGTGGTGCCGCCGGGGCCGACAAGTCTCCAAGCGGGAACTTCAAATTCTGGACAATTGCGTTTTTTCGTCATTTCGCGAATTTTTTTCTCCCCTTTAAAATGTAGCTACGGCTTTGAAACTTTTTGAGGCAACACACTTATTAACGTACTTTATGAGAAAAATAAAACAATTTACCTCACCACTTTGAAAATGCCCCCTTCCTCCCCTCAAAGTGGCCACATCGTGCGATTTCGCCGATTTTTCCTAACATTCTGCCCAAACGGTGTGCCTTTCTTCTACCATTAAAATGTCGCTACGGCTTTGAAACTTTTTGATGTAACACACTTTTTAGAGTACTTTACAAGAAAAATATCAAAACTTACCCCACCACTTCAAAAATGCCCCCTTCCCCCCCTCAAAGTGGACACATCGTGCGATTTCGCCGATTTTTCCCAACATTCTCCCCGCACGGTTTGCATGAACGAATTTAAATTTTTTGACAAATCAAAAGCAATGACGCTTCAGATTCATGAAGTAGAGTGTCTGCCGAGTTATTTAAGCCAAGAAGAAAAACAATC